TTTCCCCGCTATTCTTTACGTATCCCTGCTGGACGTGAGACAACAGCCCCCAATGTGGGACAGTTGGGCGAGTAACGTGACGGGTGGTCCCCTACCTGGACGGCGATCGATCCGGCGACGACGCAATCGGTGACCCCGACGGGGGCCTGGTCATTTTGTCTTCTTCGTCGTCGGACATACCCTCGCACAGGTCGCGCACCGAGTGGGTGTGGACCTGCTTGTGCTGGACTCGGCTCCCGGTCGTGGTAGCACTGCTCGTGCCGGGGCTGTCCAGGTGGGCGAGAACGGCTTCGCGTGCGACCGGGTCTTCGGCCGATTGGGCCGACACTCGGAAGACCCGCCGACCTTGGGAGTCGGGAGAAGCGCTGCCGGAAGTAGGGTTCCGGTTTTTTTCCGTCGGTGGGTTCGTCATCTTGCGAGCGTATCTGCTGGGAGCTGGCCGGTCAGACGTCGTAGTCCCCTCGGCCTTGTTCTAGAACGTCAGCACGGGCACCCAGTCGGTTGGCGAACTGGTTGGGTGGTGGGTTGATGGCTAACCCCCACTACGGCGGATTTACCACGAATCGCGGTCAGCAGTAGAAGTTGATGGTGATGGTGCTCATCAGATGATTGGTACCTTCCCACTCGGGGGCATCCGCCAAGAGTCGGGCGGATCGTATACTATGGTGATATCGGCTAACAGAGGTTATATCGTCAAATAGAACGAAGTAGTTTGCGAAAGAAAAGAAAAATAAGTCTGTAAACAAACGAAAATACTTACGTGAAGATTTTGATTTCTTCGTCAAACAATTATTAATAATAAATATCTCCGCTCAATAACTCTTTAAATGTAGTTCTGCAGCGAAGCTCCAACGTGGGGCCCTTGTGCTTATCACTGGGTTAATCGCGATGGTTCATTGAAACCTTACTCGATTAATAATTACACCCGCCCGGAAACTTTCATTGATTCTTGTGGCCCGTGCACAAATTTCTTCGTGATTTTCACAGCACCAATGGTGAGCAGGCGTATTTTCCCAGTGTATGTGGGACATGCCCCTTCGTGATGACGATGGCTTTTCAGTACGTAGAACGACCGGATTTTCCTTTCTCCGAGTCATACAAAGCGTCCCTTCAAAAAAGACACATATTTGTTTTTAGTTGGTCTTGTAGTGGACAGTGTACTTCGTGTCGGTGAAGGCCAAAGAGACAGAGTATCTCGGACATCATGGCCGCGACATGAGCTCATGATCAGTCACCCGACTAATAAATGTTTGATTTGAGTGGTCCAGAGAGCCCACGATGCGGTGGTGAGGCCTGGCCTCCTCGTTCCTACATTGCTCTAAAATGGTAGCGTTTCTCAGGACCCAATAAACTTCTGTGTCTGTCTGTCTGTCTGTCTGTCTGTCTGTCTGTCTGTCTGTCTGTCTGTCTGTCTGTCTGTCTGTCTGTCTGTCTGTCTGTCTGTCTGTCTGTCTGTCTGTCTGTCTGTCTGTCTGTCTGTCTGTTCAAGCCTTCCGTTTCCACAAATTTGTGTCTGAGGTCACCATGGCAACTTGCGAAAACAGAACCCAATGGTACAAAAGTGCTTGACGCAACGCTGGCCCAATGTTGTTGGCCATCCTGGCTGCCGAGGTATGCCCACACATGGGGATTGACACTGGACTCGCTATGGCCGATGTCATGGCCACCGTCATAGGGCCGATCACATTGGCTGACCTGGCCGAGTGCCAGCCACCGTAGGGCCACGTTAGGCCCGGTAAAAATTAGCACGTGGCCAGCTGACGGCCACTATTGCGTAGCCCAGAGGGGGGTGGGGTTAACCCCCCCGGTGTTTTTAAATTTGCACGTGTACTGTATTGTATACATATGCATGCAAGCCTACAACGTACCTCACGCACGAACACAAATAAAGTATGATTGCACCCCATCAGCCCCCACAAATAAAATTTCAGGTCACGCCAGTAGCGGCCTCTGTTGTTCATAGATACTATGAACTGTTGGAGCATCAATGAAGCTCACGTCACAGGTACACGGACCTGTGATGGCACGCAGGTGCGTGTGGTGTGACCTGTGATGTGACGGTACAAAAGTATACAAACATACACACACATAAAGAAAGCAAACACACACATGTGTGTGTTTGTATCTTATCGTGCGCTGTTTCATCCAAATATCATGGATCACAAACAAGACCATCTGTGGATATTAAGCTTTTCACCAATTGCGAAAGAGGCAAAGATGGGGGGGGGCTGAATCTGCAAGAGTTCACGATGATGCGCTGTCAATTTCAGCCGCTTAGATTGATGATCTGGGGGGCTGGAGGGCCGGAAACAACAATCATCGACGGCTCTGGGGCACACTCTAGTCGGTGCGCACCGAAATAAGGCCAATCTACTTACGGCATCTTCAATAAAGGGCTCCTAGGGAACATCGTCCTCCCTATTGCACCATTCCCAATCATCACAGCTCCCCGGTGCGATTTGTAGAATATGTCATTAGTTCTCTGTCTTACAGCTTGACAAGAACATAATGTAAGGTCCCTTTCCCTCTTCCCCTGCGCGGAGCCGCAGGCTAGAGCGAACCAGCTCTGTTGGAGAACTGTGCCTGCTAATAAATGATCTCTCTATACAGTGCAGCATCTTCTTCGAACTGGTTCACCTAACTCGTTGTATGTCATTAGTGTTGGTCCCTACCCCTAGTGGTGTGGCAAAGGGAGGGAATCCAACTCCACCCCCCAATGTTTTTTTTTATTTTCATACAAGCGTGCACACAAACCATCACGGTTGGTACAACAACCCCCTTCTCCACACAAAAATAATTTAACTAGACAAACGCGGCTTGCGACCACTGCAGGATGCAATGACCATGGACTAGTGCGCACACGTCCTTGACCCTCTGAAATGGACCGAGCTGTCATCAGAGCAATTGAAAAAATTACACCATCTCGATCCCGCTAAAGGGAACCATGTGGCGATGTGAGGCAGCGCTGGTGCTCACTTGAGCTTCGATTTGTTGCTTCCAGTTACATCTTTCCGCGCATGTTGTTAACGATGCCGCTACAACTGGCGCCAACGTTGACCTCCATAGCGCCGTTGCAGAGGAGAGTTCAACGCAGCGAGCGAGCGCAGCAACATATACGAGCGCACAGCTGTGACAGAGAGATAAAATGGGGAGGGGAAACAACGCAGCGATCTGCTACCTCCATTTTTCGCTCTCTGTGACATGGCAAAAAAAAAATGTCGGGGGGGGGGGGGGGGGACGTGTTATACCCTGGCTACGCCCCTGGGAGGGGGGGGTAGAGTTGGAGCATGCACAGTGGGGGGCGTATGGACGCCGAGGAATAGACACAGCCCCCACGAAAAGGTACATTCTAAATAATCAACGGAATTCATGTGCGAAATAGCTAAGTCGTCCCACCATTACCTACCGTGCATTAGGCGCAGGGCTACCAGTCTGCGAGTTCGTTTAACAGTAATTGGCTGACGGAATAACTCACTCGTCATCTTTACATGCCGATGCAACGACGTGAGTTTCATTCCGATGCTTAAATGACCCACACTATCGCCTCACCTCTTTCCCAACCTCAGATTTCGATGTTCACGCTGATATTTACGCAGACACCTGCCCCCGTCATCCGTTAACGCACACATCAATAAAGGTGACATCCAAAAGATCCCGTGCGTGGAGCCATCAACGTCCCGTTCGTCAATACTTGCTCCATGTAGTCCTTCAAGATCACCCTAAACGTGAGAATGACTGCACTTTCTTTTAGATGCGGAGCAGCTCTTTGACCCTCCGTACGAGTGACGTCACGCTTTCTCGCAGTGCACGCTGACGTCACTTTCTCCATCGCCTGCCGCGCGCTCGCTCCGCAACTGCGACCGCCGCTCGCTACACCACCGACTCGTCGATTCACGCGCAATCAACCTGACGCGCGCCTAACGTACGCTTGTCTGTACGTGTCACCTCTCTCTCGCTTAACCCTCTCCACAGCTCGCAACGCTCGAGTGCACATAGAGTGGTAAAACTCTTTCGGCTCGTTTATCTGCGATGAAGAGGGCGCCTGAAGACGACGCTCCTTCGCGCGCTGAAACTTCCGCTGATGCGATTACGCCTAGCCGGCCGTCACCAGCGTTGCGAGGGTTAACGAAGCCGAGCGCGTTCGCCAATGGCGGCGTGGTTTACTTGAGTAAACGCTACACCGAGTTTCACCTCAAACCATTCTTCCAGCACCCGCGACGACGCCCGTTTCAACCGGGTCAATGCCGTGAACACCGCTGCTGCTTCGCATCCCGCCTTCGGAGAGATGGTCCAATTTTCTCTTTATTTTTGTCATTCTTTCTTTTGTTCTTTACTTCTTTCTTCCTTACTTTCATTTCCCTTTTTCCTTTCTCTTTCTTTCGTTCTTTCTTTCCTATATTCTAGATTATCGCCACTTTTTCCGTGAGTATCTAGATGATAGGCACGTTTTCGTCATCTGCTGGCGTAAGGTTCCTTATTGCTGCTATTAGCCACATGCTGTGAAGATTGACAATAATGAGGTATATTGGAGGATAGAGAATCCACGTATAAATGGATGAGAATGGGATGAGATAATCCTGCCTCGGCATGCGGCCAACCAATGCCATGTCAGAATAAGGAAGGCCTCCGACACCACTGACATATCTTGTCATTCTGTGATCGAAATGGTTCTCTAGTAGGCGTAATGATCTCGTCTGAGGGATGCCTGAATGTTGTTCCACGCTCCTCTAAAATTAAGTAAAAATACGGCAGCAGTAACTGCTCTTTGAATATCGCGCGATTTTCACCTAACGTGGGATCAATTGCCATCAAATGCCATCTTGCTTTTTTATGTTTCCAGGTGTTTTTTCTTTAGGTTTGTAACCAATTTTAATTATGATCAGCCTCCACAATAAACAATTGCAATATTAAAACCATACTAAAACATTATGAAGGCGACAATAGTCGACAGTAGTCTTACGACTTGTCATTGTCATTCTTAGCCGAGCCAAACCAAGCCACACGAGCATGGTGCGCGCCACCGAATAGCGCGCGTAATTGGTCGTTCGCGCCGTTTTAGCTCGTTGAATGGTAATATCATCGCTGGACCGTAACAAGCAATCGTTTCGTGCCAAAAAAAAATGCCCATGGCTGTTGACGGAAAGCTGACCGAGGTGAAGTACACGCGGCCGGAGTGCGCTTTCTGCGATCTCAGCCAGCAGTTCACGCTGCCTGATCGCACCTTCAACCGGCAGTACGCCGCATTCTACTGCGCCCGGTACAAGGCCGTGCGTGCCGTTCTCGAAGACCGCGCCAGAGAAAAATGGGGTATGCCACGCGCTGATTGCCCTTCGTTCCTTTCCTTTTCTCCTGCGATGACGGTTGCCGTAGATTGTGCGAACAGGTAATGAACGCAACGCACGGCGAAGGCACAAGAGGTGCTACAGGAAAGAGCGTCACTAGAGTACCTCTTCTTTCCTTGGCTCCGCGTTGCCTTGTTGCCTTTAGCACAGTATGAACCAAGTGGCCCTACGACCTTTTCTTGTAATGTTGCCTGCGAGAAAATCCGGCTATTGCTGAAAGCGTGCCGTTGCATGCAGCAGGTATGAGATGGCAGCGTAGGACGGAAAAAAAAAAGTGCATCTCACTCAGAGACACTAAAATTTTTGCTCAACCAGGCCCTTCGGAACCCAGACTGTGAAACTGAAAAGCTGCATGCAGTTTTCCGTCTCTAATTCTGTACTCGGGCCTCCAGGCAAAGTCTGTTGAACATAGTGATATGTATAATTTCAAACATTCCCTGGATGATCATCGGTTTTGATAACAGTTACATCACGATGTAGTGTGTAATCTCATTCTCCTTTATTCATTGTTTATGAATAATGCTAATTTGTATTTCTTACTGAATATCTCTCTCAGTGAAAATTATCAATAGCATATTGATGACATTGATGAAATTTTTAAAATCTGAAATAAGTATCATGGTACCGCACACCGTGGGGCCGCACCACGGTGGTGCGATACCATGCTGCCATGCACAGCAATCGAGAATTTATATTACATTGTAGGCAGGTTGGGTATTTTACATAGCTATTGATTACACAACGAAGAACACCCACTATACAACAGATGCTATAGAGTGCTGACAATAATGTGCATTTTATATTCGTTTTGCACTATCGAAGCATTGCAGAGCCTTATTTTTATGATACACCGATAACAAGTACCTCTATGTTACATTGGGATATCAGGTGAGAATGCACTTGCCTCACAGAGCACTAGTGTTCTTACGTTCCTGGATGAAAGAGGCTTTTTAAAGGATCTTTGTGCCTATGCAGCTGTGAATCGCACTAATTGCTTGATGTATACCTTGGGATGCCTTTGCATATCATCGTGTCTCAGATTAATATTCAAGAAGGATGTGGTTGTTTGATAAGCCATTGTTCATTTGCTATGGTTGCAAATGGCCTTTAAAGAAACTCTTTCATATGCATCTGTGAGCTGCGTTAATTAATGTCCCGACTTCTATGTTTTGTTCTAGCTCATGCCCCATAGCATTCTTCACGTTTGCTCTCTAAAACAAGTGTTAGGAATTCCACTAAGAAAATTGTAGGCATTGTTTAATCAAGGGTACACAGTTATTCTGCAGTCTTGCATGGAATGGTCATGTGTGCAAAACCTAGAGCTGTGACGGATGATATAGAGGACGCACACCAACTAAGGTAAAGAGTAAAAGTAAAATCTTTTTTTACTTTACGAAAACACTGAACTCAACTTCTTGGGTACCACTTGGACTCTTATTCAGGAGTTTCTGGCAGGCATCAAAGAGCATTGATGCTGCCCTTTTTTTTTTTTTTTGCCTCGGGCCTTGGGGTCGCACTTTTTTTCCATAATTTTGAAGTCTGTTCGAGTAAAGGCTCGGCAGCGCATCCGTAGATAGATCGGTCTATGTTTCCTTGTTGCCGACATGTGCAACGATTATAGCAATACCTCATTATTGTGGTTGGCCTCAAAGTTGGGGATGTTGGAATAGTTAAGGACTATGCAGTTGTCATTCACGTCACTGGGCTCAGCGAGTGCACTCTTCTATTGGATGAATTCGTCAACTTGCGAACCCGTTTTTGTGTTAAAGCAGCCTCTCAAGAAAGTTCTTTACTTTCCCTACCTGGTGAAGAGTCACAGTCAGCACGCAGTATTGAGCAAAATGAGTCACTGATCTTTTCCCCTTGGGCTTTTACTTTTTCTGTACTATTTTGCTCTTATCCGATCTTGGTTGATGTTCTTCTGTTTGATGCGTAAGTGCCTTCCTAACCAAACAGAATTCTGCGGAAAGTTCAGGTTTAAGCGCAGCTGTTCTTGTTTACCGTGCGCCTCCCTTATCTGCCCAGGCAAGCTCGACGTTCCAATCACAACCTTGTGCGACCTCATCGAGGACAAGAGGTCGGTCGTTGTGGGCACGCTTTTCAAGATCATGGAACTCCAGCCCAGCATCTTGAAAGAAATCAGCGAGGAGGTGAGATTGATTGAATGTCAGCCTCGACTTGCCCTGCCTGCTAGGTACGATTCATTTTGGCATTTTTTTTTTCTGTGGAACAATAGAGCGACCATAAGAAGCTACTAAACTGAGGGGCCTGACAAGATAGCTGCTACCTTAAACGACAGCAACAAACAGTTGGTTGAACGAAATACGTACTGAAGAATGCGGGGTCTTGAAAGAGTGCCACTCGTAGAACATCGGAGACAGCGCAGTGCACACCGTAGTGTAACAAGCATGCAAACATTCATTAGCGGCTTTTATGTAATGGCTAGCCTACCAATCGAATGTGGCGAATAACAGCAGTAACATGAAAAATGACCCAATGGAATGCCTGTGTAACTCACATAAATGACGTAACACACACAACACAGCACAAATACGACATCACTGACATTCGACTGACGACCGGAGTCCGCAGGACTAGATTACAGAATCGTCCTCACAAACCTCGTGCTAGAGACAGCCGCTGACTAGCTCGCCAATCCCCAAAAGAGAGTAATTACTGCTCCTTGTGCACCGTTCAACGCCACTGGGCTGGTGCCTCTGCGAGAATAGTGCCATTCCTCGCACAGTTGCGAGTTTACTAACTGTGGCACAGGACGCACAGGCACCGTGAGGTAAAAACAATATTGCAGAGGGTGCAAGTACACCCATAAGATTTTAGGTGTGAGTCTTGAATAGGGGTGTTAAACAAATGGCCTCCTGTCAGGACCTTTTGCGTGCAGCCGCAGCTGCACTCGGAATAAAGTTTCGGGACTTTGCTAAATACAGCTTTCATCATTTTCTCACCTCTTACAACTAACAGCCTTTTGTTCAGGAATGCCATAAAGATGGAACTGGTCTGAAGCGTTTTTTTTTCCCCCTTCCCTCCTCTTTGTAAAGCACCCCATGCAGTCACTGTGGGTTGAAACATCACCGTAAAACAAAAGCTCTATATTAAGAATCAACCTCCAAGTTTTGGTCAATCAGGATGTCAGTACTGACATGTTTTTCAACACCTGACGTTCAGTCCCCCTTCAGGAATGACTCATGTATGGGGCATTGGAAAGGCGTTCTTTCAAATGGCATTGTTATGTGGCATACTCTTCAAACTCTCCACACCACCTCTCCTTTCTGTTCCCACCTTGTTCGCTGTGCTGACCTTTATGGGACTAAATTTCATGACTGCAAGCACAAGTGAGTTTCAGACCCCAGGTCTATGAGAACACAGCTGTAAGAAGACTGCACATTGCCTGACAGGCAAGCTTTATTGAACATGAGTATTTCACGGAAATAAATATAGCATTACTTTTTCCACAAACATCTAGGTTTTGGCACTTGATGTGAGCGGCCAAACCGCTGTTGCCGTTCTGTGGAACACAGAGCAAACGGGCTAACACATTGCTGATATATTAGTAAAGAAGTGTCTTGATATTCACCGCTTGCGTAAATTTTAAGCGAGGGTGCAATCATGGACGTGTTCTTTTTCAACTATTTTTTTGACGGGAACACGAAAATGTGTCTAAACGCATTGCAGTTAGACGGAGTCTCTCAATGTTGCGGCTGCCATTTATTAACCTGGTAGTACACAAACGCCATTGTGTACGCCGAACATGCCAAAACTCTCTCATGGGACAGGTTCAAAACAGAGTTTGAAATCAAAGCAGGAAAGAATGTTTGATTCCACTGTTCAAAGGATTGTCACCGAAAGGCATCACATAGTTTTTCTTGCAACAGTACAAACATTACAGTCACTGCTCATGTGTATCACCTGACATCGACACTGCGCTTTTCTCTGCTTTCTAGAAAATGATAGAAGGTTTTCTATAGCTTGGAAAACACCAAAGGTAAAGTAGCTTCATTTTTCTCGGCTGAAACTTAAATTCGTACAAGCTTACAGTGTGCTTCCCCTACTCGGGGATTCGGCAAGTGTTACAGAAACGTAAGGCATACTGCCCAATTGTGAGTAATTAGGAGCACGCGGATCTGCTCATAACTGGATGCGCAGTATGGCTTGGCCTGCTATTGAATGGAATGCCTAACTCGTAAAAAAAGTTAAAATGCGATATTTTTTCTCTTTCTATGTCATGAGAAAAGGGCTAATCTGATGGAAGAATGTAAGTTTCTACATGCTGGTATTGCATTTAGCTTTTAAGTACAAAGAAATGTAGATAAATAAGTGTGCTTTGTCCTATTTTATGCCTTTAACAGGTCATTGTTTAATTTGTGAGCTGAGAAGTGAAATAACTGAGTGTATTGGCGGAAATATACACTTGAACAAGCAATCTATTTAGCTTTGTAGTGTATTCGAAGGTTAATTAATCGCCCCATATGTCTTGGTGGCTCCCATCAAAAACCTACTGTACTGCATGTAAGAGAAAAAATCTTGAATGTTCTTTGGGAGCCTAGAGGTTTTCAGCGTTTTTGCCCCCTGTACGAGGTACGCATTGCTGACATATGTAGTACAACCTGGGGCTCTACTGAATACAACGTTTAACTCTAAAAAAAAAAGTTAAATTAAATTCGAAATTCCTTTTGCTGTATTGTGAAGAAGTGACCTATCTGGTGAAAGAATGCAAGTTTGTTCGTGCTGCGCAAGAATAGACACAATGGCAGTGCGCCTATTTTGTCCTGCATAAGAACTACACCATCCTAATGGTTGAAATTCATACCACAGTTTGCCTGCATTTGTCGGCAGCCACATTTAACTTGTTTTCGAGGATGGAATACTGTTCTTTTGACTCATTTCATGGCATTGGAGTTGCACTTGAGAGCTTGATTATTTGCGCGGAGTATGGTAGAAGTCAATTTCTCGTGCTTGTTTCTTCTGATGAGGTCTTGTGGGGTCTTGCATCTGCAGCAGGGCTAACGAAATGACGAAACCCCTTCTTGTTATTTCTGAATCATTGGTTGATCGTTATGATTAGCACCCAAGACACAGTAACATCACTTTCCTGTATGGCATTGTTAGGTAATGAAATAAAAAAAGCATTTTTATATGTACTACCTATAACCTAGATTTCCAGTGGTTTTTACGTGTGCTAAATATTTTGGGCTTTTTTTTTATGCTATTTTGGGCTTTTTTTTTATGCAGCCTTACTGTGAGCATTCCTAATGACTGCTTGGAATGCCTCTTGACCTTTTAAAAAAATTGTTTTTAACCCGTTGGTCACTGATCTTGGCTATTTGATTGTCTGCCGTAGCACCACATTGCACCGCAGCCACAACGGAGCCATTTCACCGACAATGCCGACTCGCTTGTTCTCGAAGATGACAAACAACGGCTTGCGCTTTCTGGGAACATTGACGTTCACACTCACGTCACAGGTTAGAAGCTTTCATTATTTATATACTTTTCCCCGTCTGTGTCGCTGCCATTCTCCGTTTACGTGCTTATTGACTTAAAGGGGCCCTGAAACACCTTTTGAGCCTGGTCAGTAGAGGCTCCCGACAACACGCGAGCCAAATATTATAGCACAGCACATGGCCTGGAATTCAGAATAAATTATCAAACTCAGCTAAAAATTGCTTTCTCTTCTCTTGACAAATCACATTATGTGCCCAGAAATCACACGTCAACTACCCATCTATTAGCCATTGGCTGATTTGAACATGGCGCCCTCGCGTGTTACAGAGATTGCCGCGGGAGGCCGCTACTTGTCCACGCATGCGCGCACGATCACACTGAAAAAAAAACGGCACATTCGAAAAAAGAAAAAAAAAAGTGCTCAAGGTCGCGAGGCTCGCGTGACATTTTTCTGTGGCCCTACCATCCCTCCCTGCTTAGCTTCCAGTGCTTTCGTCGGGACTAGAGAAGAGAGAATGCAATTGCAGCATGCGACAAACCTTCCTTTGTAACTCCACTCGCACTGGACGGATTCTTAAAATTTTTTCGGCGTTGAATTCGTGAGGCAATAAGCTCTTCCAATGAATTCATTTCATGGTTGCTTGAAAAAGTGTTTCAGGGCCCCTCTAAGGGGCCATGGCACTAAATTTTTTATCAGAATCTGTGCCTTGTGAGTTAATCACTGGATGTTCACAAGCAGGCTGGGGAAATTTCAGCGCATTTGGTTGAGTACTTAAATCATAATGAGCATTTTTTAAACACATGAGCTGCCCAAAAGTCAGGCAGCACTGACGCCCTCACCAGCCGTGACGTAGCGAGCCGCTTGCTCTGCGAGCAGTTTTATTTCGGCCAAAGATTTTGTTCCGTGGTCATTTGTGTGCGTACAGTGAAGCTATTTCAGCTTTGTGTTATATGTTGTATGCTACATTGTTGTTGGTACACATTTCAAGTGATGAAATATTCTATCAAAACAGTATTTCTGTCAATTTTGTGATAGCAGTTTATTATGAGGACTGAGAGTGGAACTTAAAGCTTCGTTCTCTCTCCTTATTTTTTAAATTTTTTTTAAATGTTCTATGTCAGTGTGGTGTTAATATTTTCAGATTTTCTCTTTTAATAGGTGTAATTCAGATTTTTTCTTGTTTTGTTTATTTATGGGTGCTGCTCACCGTAAGCTTCACTACAAAACTTAATTTCTCAATGTGGCATATTTTTTTCTTAGAATCTCTTGTGATCTACCTTCGGCAATACAAAAATTTAGCTTGCGCCCCCTGCAGACTTCATCAAAGTTTATGCCGTATAAGTAAGTTACTGTGGGAGCTTGAAGACAGTGGCGCCACTTGTATTTTCTCCTTTGAACATTTTTTAAACTTACTGCAGTCATCTTCTCGCACCAAGAGTGGGGTTTTTGCTATTATTAAAGGGCAGTTTACTAATGCATGAGAAGTCAATATTCCTTTTCTGATGTCCCTTCGATGCCATTGCCTTGTTTACTGCCATGCTTGAACTGGCGTGATTAGAAAAAGTTTGAGAAAGATACTTTCTCGCTTTGTCTGGGAACACAACCTTCAAATAAATGTTCCAAATTCTAAATCACATTGCGACTTTTTACACTCCATAGCCAGATTAGAAGGATTGTACACTAATAGAGCAAAAATTTACAATTGTCAAGCCAGCACCCTATAAAGTTTTGCTGTTAGGTATACCTTAGAGTTGAGCAATGGGCCTATTTCGTGCGGTTTTGTGACAAAACAGAACGAAACGTATGAAAGGACGGGACAGAGCAAATAGTCAACAGACGAGCTGAGGACGAGAAACGTTTTCAATGCACGAAGAAATACAAAATTATCGAGCATCCTTTTTTAAAACATGAAATTGAAGAGTGCAATGACTTCTACAATTACTGTGGGTCTTGAGTAAACCCTAGATGGTGTTGAAATTTCACAAGTTGTTTTGTGGTTTGGGGGTCGTTTGCGATATTAGCTAGTTATCGGCACGGGATCGCAGTAAGCGAGGCACAAGACGGGATAATTTTATTCTATGGCCCCAGGGCTTGTGTTTTGGTCCAACACAATCCTTCAAAGACTATTTTGTATCTATTCTATCGGACGGAGCAACGCCTCCATTCATTCCCTGCCCTTATTTGCCAAAATAATTGACATCACTCCTTTTTTCTTATTGCCATTCTTACATCTGGCCATCAGGCAACCTAGACCAATCCTGTTCAACTCCCTCGTGTGACGTTATGTTCCATTCTGTCACAGAGCACATACAAAATAGCTACACTGCCATCTGTATGCACCCATCTGCAGGTGTTCCGATTGCTGTGCTCGGTCGGGTGGGAACAGACGGTCGCTTCGCCGTGGAGGACTTCTGCTACGCTGAGCCACCGGAACAGATCAAGAGGCCACTCTTCAAGTCTGACATGTGCGTTTATGTCTTTTCAAAGTATCTTGTGAATCAAGGCAAACGTAGCGGTAATGGGACACAGTAGAGACGAGAGACTGTACCTGGGCTGTCGCAGCAGTTACAGCACGGCTTAGTACATGGTACCACACCTTCTACGTCTTATTGTTGTGCTGTTCGTTGCGCTTTGTTATGCATCAATCAGTCTATTTCAGTACTCTCTGGAAGGGCCTTCTTAGACTTTTGGGAGCTCGATTCACTGCAGCTGCGTGCGTCTGAAGTAGCTGTGGATATACATATGTCTTTCAATACACATACAGTAAAGCCTCATTAATTGGAACTGGGTTATTTCGAAATCCCACTTCATTCGAAGTACTTCCACAATCCTGTGTTTTGCAATGTAAGTTTCAGTGGATAATTTGAAGCGGCTTCGGAAACTTTGGGTGGGGCGTACCTATTCCCGATCCCAATTCCGCCACGAAACTGCAGAAACGAGGACCTAATGAGCCGCTGGGCAATGTAATGCAGCAATACTAATAAATGGCAGCTGAAGCACTCCAGCCTCGATACTTCCAGCACAAAAAATAAAATTGTAAGAAAAAAAAAGGTCTTGTGATCAGCCAAAATGTGCGTCTACAGAAAACAAGACGTGATTCGCTGCAATACAGCAATGACGTGCGGGCAGCATGTCGCATGCTTCTCGCAATGTGAGCCCGTGGGATTTACCAATTCTTTCTGGGAATGTAAAGCAATTAATAAAGGACAGTCTGGCGGAATTCACGATGTATGCGAACCTCCGAGTGCCAGTTTCTCCAGCAGTTCATGAACTTGCACTGCCTGGCGCAGTTCTTGCCTGCTTCGATAACTCTGTTCAAAAGCTTCAATGATCATGTTTTCCAGATAAATCATTGCGAATTTCGTTACACTGTCCATTATTAAATTCTTTATTTTACTAGGAAAAATGGGCAAATGGCCTCACGATGACGTGCTGACAAAGCGAGAAGCAGTAGCTATGCTGCCCGTGTGTCACTGCTGTGTTGCAGTGAGGTTGTCTTATTATTCGCAGGCCTGGCGTTTCCCCTTGTTTAAAGCAAAATTGTGACCTGGTATTGCTGTAAAGTATAACCGTTGAAGCCACAAACTAGCCGGCACAGCAAACGATCGGCCCTCATTACTTTGAATAATTTAAGGTTCCTTGTGTCCCACTTTATGCATGTTACGTTAACTCTAAAGCACACTTGATTCGAAGATTTCTCACAGTCCCAGTGACTTCGAATTAACGAGTTTTTACTATCATGAACAGCAGTGCTGGGGCTGGAGGTGGTGGTTGCATATGTATGTAAAGAAATGGTAGGTTGGTGCTTATCATTTCTTGGCATAAGTTTTCCCAATCAAACGGGTTTCCTAAAAGACCTTTGATTTAATTTCTCCTAAGGTACCAGCAAGCAACGTTTATCTTACCTGTTTTATTTGACGCAGCAGAGAGCTTATCTGGTCAGATTGTCTTTTTGTGCAGTGGTTACATAAGGAAATGCCATGGAAAAATTTTTAATTAGAATTTTTCCATCTACAGAACTGATAAAGTCATGCATTGAGTGCATGCTGCATACATTGGTAGGGGAGTGGAATAGCGATTATGCACCAACAAAAGTGTTGGGCCCTGTGAGTCAGGTTTCTGTCACGGTGGTCCGTGTACACACATTGCAACTCTCCCCATGCGTGCATCACGGCTCGACCTAAGTTTTTAGTCCAGGAAGGCGGCACTGCCATTCAGCGCCGACTCCTTTCACCTCTTAAGTATGGAATAAAGCAAGGATGCCTAGTGATATATGGCATGTAATTATGAGCACAAGCTTCGGTCTGCCTCACAAGTGTGCACAATAACTGTGTGCAAGATAAGAAGAATAGATGCACCAAACTCATTTCAACAAGAGTAATGGTATACTGATCATTCACATGTGAGTCTATGTCAAGCTGCAATTTTACTCACGAGTGTTCAACATGCCATGTCTTTAGTCAAATGAGTTTAGAACACCCGTCCTTGTTTCCTTGCTCAGAGTTGTTATTCCAGATTATTGTGATCTTCCGATTTACTTTGCAATAGACTTTTCATAACTGTAAAGCTAGCTTTTCTGTGGTACAGCTAGTCTAATACCCGTGACACACGGGCAAAAGTAAAGTACTTTGAAGTAAACCCCTTTTGTCTCCTAAGGGGACCATTCGCAGAAAGGAGTGGCGCTGATGACACACGGCACCAGACTACTGCTTTAGGCGGTGCCTCAGAAGAACGCTGCAGAAAAAATGGCGCTGTTTGTGGAAGCAGCAATATTGGAAATGTTAAAAAGAATCTGCGCAAGTACATCACATTCAGCGACGCCGGAGCATAAAACCGTTTTTTTTTTTTTATCGTCTGGTTGCTTATAATGCGCATACCTGTAATTTTCTTGCACTTTTTTGCGTTTCTAGCAGCAACTTAAGTTCGTCTGGCAACTATGAACAGTCGGTGTTTTGCTGTTTTTGTTTTTTGTCGTGCTTTTTACATATGCATGGCTGCGTCCAGCTGGGCATAGAGAAATAAAAAAAAGGTTTTCCTTTTCCTTTCTCTATGAGCTGGGTCAGTGACGGCGTGCCGCGTTTCATCGTGGTCCTGTGATGTCTCAGCACAGAGACAGAGATAAAGCAACAGTTGAGGTGGGCCTGACTCTTGTCGCCCTCGGCTCCATCGAAGATGAGCTAAACGCTGCGAAGGCAAGAATGATGAGCCTCTCAAACAAAGACTCGTCATGAACAGCTTCATTTTGACTGCTTCCGCACTGTCCCCCCCGAGCCATCAACTGCAAAAGGTGGGCCTATGTGCGCAACGAACGCTGGTTCGAAGACACATTGCCGTTCGAAGACACTCCACTGTTGTGTTTTTGCCCTCGCAAGGCGTCCAAATGGTTTTCCCATAGCTTTATCAGCGCCCAGTTCTCCTTTTCATTCCACTGGACGCGCGGTTTTTTCTTCACCGACTCCATTGTTACAAGATACTACGTCGCGGACACAGCAACTGCCGCTGTCAACCCTAACATGATCGCGCTAGTGACGTAATGCAAGCGTTTGAGAGTATGGACAGGCTAGAGGCCTTCACTTTTCAACAAATCGCACTGCTGCTGAAAATGAAAACATTTTCTCAGTGCAAAAAAATACTGACAGGGCACCGCAGTGTTGCGACACGTTTTCTTCTATTGATAAATTAAGCACCCTGTATGCGAGAGTACTCCCTTCCTGCCAGAAAAGTAGATGCGGGATTTGCTTTTGCGAAAAGGATCTTTGCCGGAAAGGAGTTACTCCTTTGTCGTGTGTCACTGCGCCCGAACGCCTTTCCGAAAGATGTCCCCTTGTCTAAAGAACTTCAGGGTGCCCGTGTGTCAGGGGCATAACTAATGGTGGCTAGTCACTTACTGCGAACTGCACGTTCAAGTGCACTTTGGCTGTGCTACGACACGGAAAACGTATACTCACCTCTTTCAACATCAACATGCGTAACAGACAATTCCCAAAATATGCAATTAGAATTTTATCTCCACTCGAGGGACAACAGGTCGTTAGTTGGGCAAATGTGCAGCGCAGGGAAGTCCATGCACAGATTATGAAAAGTATCTTTTCTACCACTTAACTCAGTCGTTCTCAAATGGGGGTCCGTGGACCCTAGGGGGTTCTGCGAAGCCATTTCTATGATCCGCGAAACCCCCACCTGCATTTTTCATTAAGCGTGACTATGTCACGTATTCATGAACTGTCCAAAATGAAGTGATGTGGCACATTTATTTCATGTTTTTTTGGTAGCAATAACAGCAGGCTTGTGAGAATATTTGGATAATAATAATCAAACGAATAGTAGAATATTCGCTTCAGTTCGAATTTAAATAATTGAAAATTTCGAAGTATTCGCAATGAACGAATAGGTGTATATTAATCCGCATGTAACAGCTTGTAAAGGTAGTTTTTGCTGCAGTGTCGGAGTGCTAAGCCGTGAAAGCACCTATCCAGGGCAAGTCTGCTTCGCCGCGAAGCCCCCCCTGCAAATTTAAAGGGGCCCGCAACACTTTTTGAGCATAGTCGGGAAACGCTCCCCATCGGCAGTCGAGGATTCTGAGAACACGCGAGCCAAATATTATGGTGCAGCACGCGACCTGCGATTCACAGTGAATTCTCAAAACCAGCTGAAAATTGCTCTCTCCTCTCGGCAAATGACACCACGAGCTCAAAAATCACTCGACTCATCAAGGCCCAGGACCAGACCTCTCAAATCCTGGCCGTCCAGAGGGCCCGCGCGAGGGCCGTCAGGTTTAACCTAATGGTCCCCGAGTGGGCCTAGCCAGGTGACGCTGAGTTTACTCGCGTCTATTGTGGACCAAATAAAGTTGTTTCACTCACTCACTCACAGCTATTGCATCAGCCATTGGCTGATTTGACATGGCGCGCCCGGTCGTCACTGGAGCCGCAGCGGGAGGCCGCGACGGGTCCAGGCGTGCGGGCGCGATCAGGATGAAAAGCATGAAAAGCGGTGTATTCTAAGAAAAAAGAAAAAAGAGGTGTTCAAGGTCACGAGGTGCGTGTGACGTTTTTTTTTTTTTTTTCGCGCCGTGCCATTCCTCCTTGTTTAGCTTCCAGCTATTTCATCGGGACGAAAAGTGAGCATTAAATCGCAGCGTGCGACTAATTTTCGGAACTCCGCCGCTCGTACAGGACTGTTTCTAAAAATTTTGCGGCGGTAAGTTTACGAGGCAACAAGCGTTTTTACTGCCTCCATGGCTACTTGAAAAAGTGTTGCGGGGCCCCTTTAAATGAACATGTTACCCTCAAATCAATTCATCATTTTATTAAGCTTAAAAGCTTGTTATGACAACTTATATGCTCCAAGTATAATAACATTTAAAATGTTACCTATTTTACAGGTTATCACTTGCATTCTACCAAAACTCATATCCTGCTTCTACTCAAAGTTGTTTCGACTTCCTGTGAACTAAAAAAAGAAATACATTTGCATAGAGGCCTTATTTCAATATAAAAATATATTGTGCTGGTTAGTTAGGTCAAATTCAATTCAAATTCAATTCAAAATTATTAGACCAAAATCACTATTTGCACAAGCCTAATAAAAGGCACCTGTTTCACGTTCCAGTTGTGTTAATTTACCTACGTACCCCTCTCCCCCCTCCTGCTGCGTCCGCTCCGCTGCAAGGGGTCCCCCATCACTTCCACCAGTCCCCAAGGGGTCTACATCCATGGCTGAAAACCACTGACTTAACTTATAATCTTGCCTGGGAAAATAGACATCACATGTTTGGTATTTTGAATACTACAGATTGCACCGGAGAAGTGATTGCTTTATTTGAATTTGGAATGCAGATATATGTAAGCTCAGCAAGTTTAAGTGAAACCAATTGAGATTTAAAAAAATCTTTTTTGAGGAGAACTGGAAATGAGCAGTCCTCCTTTCCACATTGCCAGCAGAATGCATTCCTGCCAACCGATCACACTGTCTCGTAGGTTCATACTCTTGGTCTCAGGCGTGGGGCTAACCGAAAAGGCGGACAGTCTGCTGCCCTTCCAGCTGCTCATCGATTATGTGTCGGGCTTCCTTGGCTGCGACGCCGACCAGGAGAGGGCGTCGCACGTCGTCCGCGTCATCCTTGCCGGCAACAGTCTGCGGCAGAAGGGCTCGAGCAAGGACATGTCTCGGGTATGAAGACACCGCCTTCTAGATCGTCGACGCGACCGTCATCATTTATTGACTGTACAAGTTTGGGTTGACTGCACATACATAAATTTAATAAGTTAAGAAAAAACATAGAATAAGATCCATAAGGACAATGCAAAAACTGAGTAACAGACTAATAATGTGAGCAAAGCAAGTATGTTTTCAAAGGCTATATTTTGAGCAGCTTAATAGTAATATCTTTATGTCAGGGTTAATAGTGTTCCTAATAGAAATAGGAATAGACTGTTGTTTATCGTAATTATTAGCAACCTTTGGTTGCAGAAGTTTATTTGACAGAGCGAACCTAATTGAATCATCATTTGTAAACCGATAAATCGGGAAGGCGTCAATTGAGATATGACATTTGGTGGCGTTATACAGCCAGGCCATCAGATTTATTCTATATGTACAGATAACATCAAAGGGTATATTGTTTTTTTCACTGTTCCTCCTTGAGTAGTGAACTTCAGACATTTTTGCAAATGTGTGAAGGCAAGTGTGGACATTAGGCTCTGTTGGTTGGCTGTAATCTTAGTGTTGCACATGATCCGCCTAGCCAACCACATATGCTCTCTCATATACAGCTTCGCTGTTTGACAGTTTTCAAGGCGTGGAACTGGCTAAATTTTAAAAAGTGTACTGCCACGCAGATCTTGTGTAGCGAACAGCTTGCCCTCTTGGTGCACCTACCATGCTTTTCCACTGCACCCATTTCACTTAAAATTCTGTTGCTTGTGATTCTTTTCTTGCGTTCAGGCCAAGTTCACTGTTCGCAAGGAGTCGTCGGCAGATGCCAGTGTGGCAAAGCTTCTTGACCGCCTTCTAGAGCAACTTTCGGTAAGGACCTCGCGGAACTGTACACACTGCGTTCTTTCTCCTCTTCTTGACTGCCAACTGGGACAAATTTTTCGTTTTGTTTTAAAGGAGTGTGTAATCACAGTTTGATCCATGCCGAGTTCAAAAACCCATCTGAGGGTCAAAAGGGAGCACAAGTGGCGTTTCTTGGCAAAAACAGCTACTGTGACCATGGAGCTTTTTGAGATACAGAGCGAACAAGATGACGTCACATTCGTTATGTTCTACACTCAAACCTCATTATAATTAGCACAGATATAATGAATTATAGATTGTAACGTATTAAATGAAAAATAGTCTTGAAAAAGATACAGTGTTAGAAATAACCTATGTAACAAATTTTCCAATGTAAAAAAACTTGTTTTCTTGTAAGACCCAACTGTGTTATGACGAGGTATGATTGTATTGTTTGCAATAGCAGCTTTGTCAAAATGTGAACTCTGGGATTAACTCCGGCAGTGATGTGTAGCTGGAGCTGATCAATGAGGCCACGGTTCAAGGTACGAGAGGCGCTTGTTCACATTGTGCTTGGCTGTTTTTCACTATGGCAGATGTTGTAATCTGGCCACAAAAAATTTAAGCATCTCTTATACTTGCGTGAGCCTCCAGCACATATGCAACTGTGCTCTTAAACATCAGGTCAGTGAGTGGCGAGAACCGTGAACAGGAGTGCTGCGCAGCTCCGCCTAAGGAACCAAAGATGACCTAGCTCTGGCCAGTTATTTCTATGCCCACACTTTCGGCACAGTCATGTAGGCGGATTAGGCCAACTTTTCATTTACGTATTCTAAAGCTCCTTCTGTAAGAACCATAGAAGAAGTTACAACATCAACAATAACGTCAGTCTTGATTAACCACATAGCCTTTAGGGATTGTATAGCTACATCAGATTCATTTTGATTGCTTAATAAATGAGTAGTAAGCAGTATTCATGAATTGAAACTTGACCTTGTTTCATTTTTAGTATTAAAACTCCTATGAGCGATTACTTGTTATAACAGTATAATTTCACTGCAGTCTGGCCGCTAAATATAATGTCGGCTCTAACTGAAGTGTTCGAGTTAAAATTGCGCTGAAATGACTCAAATTCTAAATGCCGGAAACGTGGGTGTGTGCATTAGTGAGTCCTAAAATTTTGCGTTTCGATTCGTGAGTACCCTATATACTGATAAAGCAGGCTCGGCAAAGTTGTGGGGCTGCTCATTCTATTTTTCTCCCTGCTTAGCTTCCAGCGCTTTCGTCGGGACGAGAGAATGCAATTGCAGCATGCAACAAACCATAGTAACTCCACTCGCACTGTACGGATTCTTGAAGTTTTTGTGGCGTTGAATTCGTGAGACAATAAGCTCTTCCAGTGAATTCATTCCATGGTTACTTGAAAAAGTGCTTCAGGGCCCCTTTAAGCCGTCCCTCATGCAAAAGATACAAGGGCCTGGAAGATAGCAAATAGGAAGTACTATATTCCAGTACATGTCACACCTGAAGTTTTTTTCAACATCCAGTGGGCAGCCAGGGAGCAGCAGGAAATTTCAGAACCTATCATTTTGGGCTGTCTTCTTTCCTGTGCCATTTAATTGTTTTGAAGCCCCTTTTTTGGTAACCTGCGGTACTGAAAAAAGAAAGGGACCAAAGCATGCAAGGCTACCTAATGTAATAGAAAAGAATATGGCAGGCAAAGGTGTTTGTGTGGAAAAGCTAACAGAAATAAAAAAAAAATGAGGCACGATAATGACGTCTTCGAGACGAAGGTTAGCGAAGGCCTGTTAATATAATTAGCTCAGCGTTGTACTAAAGGGACTATGATCAGAATTTTTTTTTTTCAAGATGTCACCTAATGGTACACTAAAGAGTAAAATGATTTTTCGTGTATTAGTGAAGTACAATTTCACAATCCCGAAAACACCATTTTTACCGTGACGCGACGCTTGGTAAGAGAGAAGATGCGCGAAGAGAAATTACGGGTGGCCGGAAAATGCGAATTCTCAGGCATACATCGTGACGTCATAAACTTTGAAGGCATCTAAAGGCATTTACTAAGTCCTATGCAGTGTCCAATCGATAAAATTGAAGTACATTGTCTTCTGTGGGTACCATGAGTCTAGAATATGGTGTTTCAGAAAATATCATCTAGCTAATGTCGCTAAATTATGAAAAGAACATTTCAAAATCAGTGAAGTGCCGTGCGGAAATTTCGGCCCGAAACTTAGAAACGAAACTTCAACCTTAGTTTTCTCCTCTAACTTATGATTGTGATTTTCTCATGAACTTATGATTGTGAAAGTTATGTCATTGGAGTTCTCAGAGTGCACTTTGTCAATCCAAACCAAGCCATTGTTTCTGTTTAGTGTCCCTTAAAGTGCACGTCTGTACTGTTGTTGCCATGTCCTAGCATTCCGTGGAGGTGGACGTCATGCCTGGCCTCTCCGATCCTGCTGCCAGCCTGCTTCCGCAGCAGCCCATGCACCCGTGCCTCTTTCCCGGTGCTTCCCAGCGAGCCTCGTTACGATGCGTCACCAACCCTTACCAGTTTGAGCTGGACGGCTTGAGGTAGGTGGCAATTACCACTCCCGATGGAACGGGTAAATAACGAATTCTTCTGCAATGCAGACGAGCTGAGCTTGCGCGCCCCGCCGCGGTGGTCTAGTGGCTAAGGTACTCGGCTGCTGACCCGCAGGTCGCGGGATCGAATCCCGGCTGCAGTGGCTGCATTTCCGATGGAGGCGGAAATGTTGTTGGCCCGTGTGCTCAGATTTGGGTGCATGTCAAAGAACCCCAGGTGGTCGAAATTTCCGGAGCCCTCCACTACGGCGTCTCTCATAATCCTATGGTGGTTTTGGGACGTTAAACCCCACATATCTGAGCTTGCGTACCTGTTTCCAGTATCATCATCGTCCTTGTCCAGAGCTTGTTCTAGTGCACTGCTGGACAACGGCCCGTCCAACCCACCTTGTGCTGTGCAAGCCAATTTCATTTTATCGCTGCAAAGTTTATAATTTCATCACTTCTTCTGACTCTCTGCCTACCTCGAGTTCATTTCCCGTCCTTTGGTAACCCTTCCGTTGCCCTTACTGTCCACCGGCCACACGTTGTGTTACCAGCCCAGGTCCATTTCTTTCGCTTGATGTCAACCGGGGTCTTCACTATCTCTATTTGTTTCGTGACCCATTCTGCCACCCTTTGATCTCATTATGTTACTCCTGTAACTGTCCATTCCATGGCGCGCTGCATGGTCCTCAACAATGATTGAACCCCTCAGAAGACATGCACCGGGGAGCATTTCTCGTCCCTTGCGTGAGCTGGCTCTTACACGCAGGATACCAGGTATGCATTCCCTTATCGACCCCTATTTTAATCCAGGCACATTGGTCCCAATCGTCGGTTACACTAGCGTCTTTTATAATGGGGTTGCGCTGTATTTCTCTAGTTGCTGTGGTATCCTCGACGCTTCGGCTCAGACATTGAAAGTACTTCTCACTTTTGTGAGAGTGACAAATTTCTTTAAAAAAATTTCTGACATTGTTTTTCATCTTGCTGAAAGCGCTCTAGCCCATTCTTCCTTTGGTTAGTTTTCTTTTCATGATTAGGCTCTCCCATTGGTGGGTAAATGGCTTTGAATCGTGAACTTCTGTATGCTCACGAACAGCTTTTCTTGCCAACGAAGGGAAAGCTATGGGGGCAGAGCATTGGCACTTGTGCATACACCTACGCAATGCAGTCTTACTTGGCATGCGTTTTGTGCTGCTGTAAAGAGGCGACGGTGGCACGACATCGGCGTTGCATAGCATTTGCTCTGTCTGCTTATATGGCCGTTTGTAAGTGAAGTTCATCAAAAGTTTCTGAGGTGAGTGCATGGTGGAGCCATAAGTAGAAGGGTGCTCTCCTGAGAACGCCGACACAATTAATCATTTGGGGTGCTAGTTAAAAGCACATCTTTCTCGCGCATGCAAAAATGCAAAATGACTATATGTAAAGTGAAAAAGTTTCGATATCTCTTTGATGTGTCCCGTCTCAAGGAGCTTTATGTAGGAAACGAAGTGCTTTTACTAATTTCCACTTGGAAAACACAGACGCATATGTGGGGCAACATTCACTTGCTGTAGCATTCGTACAATTCGCTGTGTAGCATTTGTTTCATCGCCAAAAAGTGTTGTCCACAGGTGTGAAAGTGGCCAATTTATTTGTTAATGGTACCTTTTTTTTTTTTAGCGGGAGTCCCTCAAGGTTTGTCACGTTTATGGCAGATGGTGGCACACGATCTGGGAAAGGACATTGCGAGCAGGGGCTAGGTTATCCGTTAGAGAAAAGAGAAGTTAACCATAATATAGTTATGTTTATTGAAGCGAGTCTGTCATTACAGAGGACAGATTTGAGTACTGTTCAAGATAACCATATTTTTGAGACATACATTCCTAGTTGTTTTTTTTTTCCTTTGTTACAAGCAGTTCCCTTTGACTCAGTTACTTACAGTGTTTTGTTGGCAGGAATATTTTTATGCGGGAAGGGAGGACGGTGATTAAAAAACTGCTAAAGCGTAATGTGGTTTAGTGTTCAATATCTCTTGGTTTGTGGTTAACCTTTTTAATATTCCTATGCAGAGCTGCACTTTTGTGTGGTCTTTCCAGAAGAACGATGCATCTGTTTGATGTCGATCATAATTCTTCAGTAAAACCTTATTCATTCAAACTCGGCTATTTTGAAATTTCGCTTAATTCGATGGATTCTTGCGGACCCGTATTTTGCAATGCAAGTTTGAGTGGATCATTTGAAGCGGCACCTGGAATCGGCCCAGTTAATTAGAAAGCTTTGGGAGCCATTTGCAAATGCCCAACCCCGCAATGGCCACAAATTCGCGGAAACGACGGCCCTTAGAAGCCACAAAGTAATACAACACAGTGATAATAATGAGAAGCAAAAGAGTGGTACTGTGGTCAGTTGAAGTGTGCGCCTGCAGAAAAGGAGACGTGCTTTGCTGCAACACAACAGGGATACGACAATAGCATGTCACGTGCCTCTAGCAACGTCAGTGCGTCATGATGTACCCATATCCTTTCTTGAAATCTAAAGAAATTAATAATGTTGTGCATATAGAGAAGTTCGAGGGGCAAAGCGAATCTGAATAGTGAAGTGCGAATCGAATCTTTGCCGAATATTTTGAAGTGAAATTTCGGGGGAAAAAAAGCTGGAGAGGAGTCGTAAGCATAATATGAAATAAAGCAGCATGAAAGTGTTTGTTTTTTCGCTAGGTTGATGAGGAGCCGAAGAGGGGGGGTATTTCATAGTTGTTGTTTTATAAAGAATGAGGCGATAGAGGTCGAACGGTAGTGCACGATTTGATGCACCGAAAGTGTTTATACTTTATATATCTATGCCAAATCCCTTCTTAGTGCCTTTCTTAGTTCTTCTTAGTGCACACTGTCCACTACACTACGAACAAAATTTGCTAGCAGTATTCATATACTAGACACGTTATGAAGTAACAGCAGTTCGTCTGCTTAGCTGCCAGTTCGTAGCTGCCATGTGAGAGCACATTTAAAAAAATAAAGGTGGTTCCTTTTTTTTTAGCATCGTTTAGGAGCAAGGGGTAGAGGTATGTATGTGCGTGGATATATATACATTAGATGCATGTATACATTAAACGGAATTGCAGTGCCGACAACACTGAAATGCCGAAGGTGTCCATATAATTGCTGTTCCAATAACCTCAATTCAATTCCTTGTAGAGTGCTGGGAACGTCTGGACAGAACGTGACGGACGTCCAGCGCTACAGTCAACTCACCTGCCCTCTGGAGATCATGGAGAAGACACTGCAGTGGCGTCACCTGGCACCAACGTGTCCAGACACACTGTGTACGAAATTTTTTCACGCGTTACTTCATCTGCGCTGGTTTCTCTAGCTGCTCCGGTGAATATTGTTAGCATTGTCATCCGAGAGTGAGTGCCTGGCGCATCAGCGCTGTTTGAGGGCATTTATTCTTCAATACTTTTGTTGGACCTGGTACCAATGGCAAAGCAAGATGTTTGGTCGGGTTTACTTGGTCTTAAATTACCTAATAGGGCAGGTAAGCAGGCTCCGACAACTTTGTCTGCTTTCCAAACAAGCTCGTTAATTCATTCAGGAGGCTCCGGTGACCACATTTTGCAATCACATTTTGCGCAGCGCTGCACATGCGCTGATGCTCCCTTTCGAAAAAACAATTTTCGTGCCCACCCTCCTGCTCGTAACCAGTTCTTTTCTCCCATGGGCGGAACCTGGCCTGTGGGCAACACTGACTTGTCGATTGGTTCTTTGCATTGTGAATCATTGCCTTGGCCCAGCAGTGAAGAAGCTTTGGCCACGCAGTCTGCACATTAATTTTTCTATGTTGCTCTCTGCATCCCCGCCGCGGTAGTCTAGTGGTTAAGGTACTCGGCTGCTGTCGCGCAGGCCGCGGGATCGAATCCCGGCTGCAGCGGCTGCATTTTCAATAGAGGCAAAAGTGCTGTAGGTCGATGTGCACAGATTTGGGTGCACGTTGAAGAACCCCAGGTGGTCGGAATTCCCGAAGCCCTCCACTGCGGCATCTCTCATAATCATATGGTGGTTTTGGGACCTTAAACCCCACAAATCATTCACTGCTGCTCTGTGCGATTTTTGCAGCTCCGAGACTACTGGCTCAAATGGTGTGGCCAGAACGAAAGCCTTGCAAAAATTACAATGCCAGTGCAAGAGCCCTGGCACAAAAATTCAAAGGCTAAATAATGAGTGCGATAGTTTTATTTAGAGACACACACAATATCTACAAAATATCAAGGGCAAATCTAGCCTAGAACGCATTTAAATCAATTTTAAAGTGCATGCCACGCGACTGAGCGAGATGCAGAGCCCCTCGCGAGGCCGACATCAACGTGGAGGGAGTGTAAACAAACCTGCGTCACTAGTTTGGGTTGGCTGCAGTGATGGAAATGCTGCTCCAATTGCTCCAAAAGAAAATCGCTACTCCATGCTTCTTGGAACAGTAATTTTTATTAGTAATTGCTCCAAACCTGCTCCAAAATTACACTTAGAGAATTGAAATTATGGACGTTTACTGTTTGACCGATTCATAAGTCCTAAACAAGCTGAAAAGCATCTGTACTATCGTACTAGTGGGCAGAAATATTGACTCATATCTCATATGTGCGACAAGAACTGGCATATTAAGCTTATATATATCTCATTTGACTGCTTTTTTTTTTTCGTAGCTACACATACAGGTTAGTGTGGTGAAATGTGAAAATGAGCAGGATTGCTTTTCTCTTGTACCGACTATCTAGTGCTTACGTGGCAACAGTTATATGGGACTTTGGTTACTTCTAAAACGTGTCGCTCGGTTTTCGTGCTCTGATTTGATTTCTGCCACAAACACTAGTATTTTAAATTGTAGCTCATTTCACAGCACATTTTTGACAATCTGCCATTGTTTTCTTCATAGAATTTACGTTGATTGTTTTCTATTGAGTACATTTCATGAGAAGTATCAATACTTGCCACATGCTTCGACAATGCTCTAAACTACAATTAATGTAGAGCAAATTTAATATGTCCCCCTAAAAGATCGATAGCTTCTCTAAACAGGCATTTTTTTTCGCTCCGAAAGCACTTATGGCTGCTCCAAAGCAGTACTTCTCCAGCTCCAAAGTATGTTCCAAAAAGTAAAAAGTCACTTCGATCACTGTGGCTGTCAGTTGGCACATGCCCTGCGCTGGCTGCAATTTCCTCATATCTGCGACTTTGCCTCTGCTGGCTGCCAGTGCGGCACCCAGGTCACATTTTTGCATGGTCACATGGAGAGCTGTGTTTATCTTGCTATTGAAACTTTTGCTGCTTAGCTCAGTGCTCATTGAAACCGAAACTGTGACTGGGCGCTATTAAAAACGTCTAAATAAAAAGTTGGCCCCCGTATCTGCATGTTAATCTGCAAAGGTCGTCGAAGGACGATGGTCTTGCTTGTGGAGAGAGTGAACAAAACATTTATTTGATGTTCTGGGCAAGAAAGTATTTTGGAGGCGCTGCGTTAGAGTGCCTCGCGCGTGCAGCGGAGGCGAACGAGCGCATCGAGTCATGTCACACGCGAGGCATGGGCGCCATCTGGCAGTTTTTTTAGAATTCGAAGCTTGTGGCTCTGAGACGGGCGTGCGCGCTCGTCTCAGAGGTGATAAGGTGTAGAACGCAAGGCGACGGGTAGGTGCCACCACCGTGTCATCTTAGCAAAGCGTTGGAAACACTCGCCTGTTCGCGCAAGCGTTGCATGGTCAGCGCAGCGTGATAAGCGCTACGGTCCTTAAAATTACCTATGTATGCCTTTTTTTAGTGAAAGACGCACATGCAGAATATAAACGTGTTGGTATGGTGCCTCAGATATGTGCAATAATTGATTTTTCATTGACAATCACACAAGTATAAACGCTAAAGCTTGAGCAACATTGGTGGGCGCTGCGGATGGGGTCGGCCGTTTGGGGTATCGGCTAGTCCGTTCAAAGTACCCGATACCGCTAAGTGTGGACAAACAGACAAATGTACAGACAGACCAACCAATATTTTTACGTCAAAGGTCCCCTAGAAAGACTATCGTCTTTAGTAACTGTCGAGCACACAAAGTTTCCATTCGTGGTGAGTGAGTCATAAACTACCTATGGAAATGAGAGAAAAAAATCGCAGCATTTACACGTTGTGAATGGTGATGAGCGGGCCTAAGTGTCCGTCTTATTGCTGCGCACTTCTATTGGACAAACGCCATCTAGGAAATGAGACGAAAAATGGTGATGAGATACCACAATCTACATTACTATTTGGGAGATACTGCCGGTTAGGTTTTACGCCGGACATGGTTAGACTAAAAGGAACTTCACCCCCTAAACAAGGAGCAATGTTTTTGTGTCAGTTCTTTAGGGGGCTTTACCTCTAGGAAAAGTGCGCATCTAACGCGGCATGTTTGTATACACTTCGCCAGTCTTCACACTTTTCGCTGCACGCTTCCTCACCGAACCACTCTGGTGCGAGCAACACGTATGGGAAGCCTTGCTTGGTAGTTGACTGTGTTCCGACGATCTAATCACTGAAGCCGTGTCGCGCTGCAGAAAGGAGTGAAGTCATGACAAACGGCTATGCTTAGTCCTCCTCGCTGCTGAGGAGAGTGGGAAGGTCGAACGAGCAGTATTTTAAAGAGAGAGAAAGAGAACTGTATTTTTGTATCTTAAAATTTTTTTATATTAAAGAGAGGGAGCGGTATTCTGCCGAAAGTGGGAAGCTGGACTTTGATTGTGTACCTTGGGGAGTTTACGAAAGATCCCTAGAAATTTATTAGTGACAGAAAACAAGTATAGCTAGAGGTTTCCGATTAAACTTTGAAACAAAAGCAATTTACCATGAAAGTCCCTGAAGTGGATAGATTTTGTATTGCAATAGATACGAGAGACCTTGTTACAGATGGCTCCCTGGGTGCCGCCATAATCATCTCTAGGCTGCGCTGAAAAATAGACGTGACTCCCCTTAAATCCACTACCAAGGCTGTGACGTCAGCATTTGTGTTCCCGTGCACAGCCCAGCATTATGGCGCTTTTTTTTTTCTTTTTCTATTCATTGGAAGAAAAAAGGTGTATACGGTGTGTTCCTTTTTTTCTTTTTTCACGCGGCACACATTTTTAATAAATGTTTTATGGCATTCGGGCTCCTGTTGTATCACACTTAAACTCTGAATCGAGAAATAAATGCTTTGCCACAGCTAAATTGCTGCTGATGTGGCTAATCAGCAAAAGCTTGTTGATTATCTTTTTGATTCTTTACTTGAGGGCTGTCATTTATCACTCAAAATTGTAGTACATAACAATTCATGGCTTACCCTTTTCTTAGAAATCACAGAAGTTGCATGTAATGAAAGTTGCATGTAAATTAAGGTATTCATCATCAAATTTAATAGCAATATCTAAATGACGATATCGAGTGCCGGGCATGCAGGAAACACGGCCTTTCTGGTATGTCAAAGGGAGCTATCTAGGACACGGAAGTGGTGAAAAGGAAATTCAAGGTGTGCCGAAGTATCATCTGGTTAGAAAAAATTGACAAGAATTCTGCCATGCACAACTGGACAGCTTATTCTTTGCTTGCAATGTGTGGTGCTTGTCTGCCCTTGCTTAAAGGGGCCCTTCACTTTTTCATGTAGCCATGGAGTGGATTCACTAAAGGAACTTATTGCCTCACAAGTTCACCGCCCCAAAAACGCTTAGAATTTCTCTAGTACGAGTGGAGTCACAAAGATTTGTCGTGCGCAGCTATTGCATTCTCTCTTCCCTCGTGTCGGCGAAAGCACTAAAAGCTAAGCAAAGAGAGATGGCAGGGGGTAAAAAATGTGTCGCACACGGCTCGTGACATTGAGCCTTCTACTTCTTTGTCTTCTTTTAGTATATGGCTCTTCAGTGCAATCGTGCACACACACATGGACAAGTCGCGGCCTCCCGCTGCGGTTCTTGTATCTATAGAGTTTTCTAATATACACTAGAGGGAACTCTGGCACTAGTATATATGGGAGCTGCAACGCACGACTCTTCAGCGAGCATAGGAATGATGGGTAGAACACGTAATTGTCTAATCTTCGTACTTCTGACCTGCTTCTGGCTTCGTGTGTGTGTTTGTGTGACTTGGAGCTGTTTTCTCACGAAACGAAAATCGGCAAATGTTCAGGGGTTGCGCTTTTGCACCTTATTCTTTTAGGCTTACTATTTCAAATCGGGTCACGAAGTTCAAAAAGGTTTGTTCTTTTCTGCAAAATAAAACCGAAATCAGCAAAAAACGAAGCCACAAGTACGATTCGCAGCCCGTAAGTACAAAGACTAGGCAAATCTGTGTGCTACCCATCATACCTATGGTCGCTGAACGGTTGCAGCGCCAGAGTCCCCTCTAGTTAATTTTAGGAAAACTTTACGCCTGTAACGACCGAGCGCGCCGTGTTCGAATCAGCCAATGGCTTATACAACGGCTGTGACGAGTGACTTTTAAGCAGGTTGTATCGTTTGTCGAGAGAAGAGAAGGCAATTTTTAGCTGAATTTCAGAATTCATTGTAAATTCCGGGCCGCATGCTGGGCTATAATGCTTGGCTCGCGTTCTCGGGAACCTCAACTACGGATCAGCAGTGTTTTCTGACTGTGCTGAAAAAGTGTTGCAGGGGTCTTTAAAAAACACCAGATGGTCAAAATTTTCGGAGCCCTCTACTAGGTTGTCCCTCATAATCATATCGTTGTTTTGGGATGTGAAACCCCACATGTTATTGTTATTCTCTCTATTTCCTGCTTCCCTTTTCTTTATATCTCTCTATATATGTGTTTTCTCTCTCCCTCTTCTACCTTTCTTTCTCACTCTATTTCTTGCTTTCTCTTTCTGCCTTTCTCTATATTTCGCTCTTTCTTTTTTTTCTTCGTGGTGCTTAAATAGTCGAGTGGTTATGATGCTCGCTTTCGGATGGTGGGTATGCTGCTTCAGATCCTGCATCTGCAAAAAAAATTTTCTCTCTCTTTACCTACTCGTCTCACTCACGGAGGTTTCATAATCGCACACTAGACGTACGCGCACATGTGTCACCTGCATGAAGGAAAATATGAACAAAACAGGAGCACTAACAGAGAGTGTGACAGTTCGCGATGACGAGAAGTTTCTGGGAACAGGTTGCAGCCCACAGCTGGCGTAAACTGTATTGCTTATTAGAAAAAAAAAAAGAAAGCTCTCTGAAAAAAACCGATGCTTCAGTTTGACACTTTGTAGCACAGTCGCAAAATGTCTTCCCGCGATTATCTTCTGCCTAGTGTTCGCGTTGCAGACGTATTTTATTTCCAGAATAAAAAATGCAACTACCACTATCCCTAGCACAAGTATAGTGGGTTGCAGTGAAAATGTTTGGTTTTTTTTTTTTTTTTTTTTAGATCAATGTGCGAGTCCCTAATAATTGGGTACGCTTGTGTGTCTGTCTTTACCCTTCTTTGCGCAGCCTGCTACCCGTTCACGGATCAAGACCCCTTCATTCTGGATTCTTGCCCGCACGTTTACTTTGTGGGCAACCAGAACAAGTTTGCCACCAAGCTTTACAAGAGTAAGAAACCCATTGTGGCACTTGAAGTAGTAGTTGGCGAATGTTATGTAATAAATGGTATGTTTTATTTTAAAAGAAATTGTAGTACCCAGAGTTAGACGTGTAGGTATAGATTCATCATTATCAAAAACAGTGCAATGGAAAGAGACAAGCGCGATGCTTGCATTCATGAGTTTTCAGTTTTTTTTTTTCACCTCTTTTCATCGCCACATTTTTTATAATTATGTCATACATAGACCACTTCCTCATTTTGCAGATGGGCTATCTAAGTGCCAACTAGCAAGAAAAATTTGAATGATGTGTTAGCTTAAATTTGAGAGTATGATGGAAACCCGTCTGACCGGCTTGAAACATTTTAGAAGAATGGATCTGGACACTGACCAAAATGATTTTTAAAAGTGACATATTTTGACGTTTGGGTTCCTCCACGGGAACCATGTTCACAACTAACGTACTTCGACGTTTCAGTTCCTCCACGCGTACCATGTTCAGAACTAACGTATTTCGACATTTCGGTTCCTCCATGGGAACCATGTTCACAACTAGCGTATTTCGACGTTTTGGTTTGCCCATGGGAACAATGCTTATTTTGAACATGGTTCTGGTGAGAGAGCCGAATCGTTAAAATACATTCGTTTTTGTAAATCAGTTTGGTCGGTGTACGGGTCCCTTCTCATAAATAGTCTTAGCTTGCCACTTACGTAGTGTTGAATGATTTTTCAAGTAATTGCAATGGGGTCATGAATAGCGGAAATGCTAAGACTAGCGCCATGGTTGGCAAAGATAACATGATGCAGTAATACGAGAGTGGTCCAGTGTCCAAAGCTTAACTGTACTGTGTGCATGCATGTCATTCTAATTATAGTAGCCCATTTAAAGAAATTACCACACTGACATGTGAGTTATGCCATTTGCATCATGTCATACGTGACATACGAGTCTTGCATATGCAGTTCATATGTTCTAAGTATCTTTTTATTTTACGTAATTGTTCCCTATGACCGATTCATTTCCGATCTTGAGTATGGTATGTCATCACTTTGTGTTATTTCATATTTGTGGCATTTTCTGATTAATTTCTGTTTTTTTTTTTTCTTCAGGTGAGCAAGGGCAAGCAGTGCGTCTTGTGGCCGTACCATCTTTCTGCAAGACATTCACCTGCGTATGGCTGAACATGAGGACCCTTGAGTGCGAACCAATGAGCTTTGATGTTAATCCGTAATGTGAAATCTGTGGCCAAATTTTAGATTTCCGTATTGATTTTGCTATGCTTTGCGTTATATATTTACAATGAAATAAACCATGGGATACGTGTGTGCCTTGCTATTGAAGTGGGTGTCTGTACTGTCTCTTCTTTGTCATTTTTTGTGAGCACTTGTTTGCTCAGTTTGCGAAGTTGCTGATAAACGGATTTGGGTGCCCTCTAAATGGCCCATTTTGTCTTTAATTTGTTGCAACATACTGTTGTGAGCGTCTTTGGTAGCATGTGTCTGCTTCAATATCTATCATACTGCGAAAAAAAATTCATTCCCCTTTGCGAAAGAAATAAAGTTAAACCACTCATTTGCTTTCGCGTGATAGGTTCATATAATCTCTGCTGCTGACTTGAACATGATTCTGGTCAATCACACTGGGGCAAGCGAACATGCTTGCTTTTCAAACAGTTGTCACAATAGAGCGTCTGTTTAGGTTAACTGCCTGGCTTCATCGATTGGTTTGAGCTTGTTTGCACATGATTGGTCCTATTCACTCTTGATGACGATGCAAGCACGATTCTGACCAAATCACACTAGGGCAAGCAGATGGTTTCACTTTCCACACAGTTTGTAGCAGCATAATGTGTACCTGCATGTACTTCGATGATTGATTTGCATTTGCCTTGTGTGATTGGTCCAAATCAATCTTGCCGACGCAATTGCTATTCTGGCCAATCACGCAAGGGTATGTAACTGGTTCACTTATATAAGTGGTTATATCAGAAGAAAAGAAAAGGAAAGGTGCCGACCCGTAACTGTCTCTCCTTACGAGGACACCTCAACAGGTCAGCAGAGGAATGGGATATGGGGAATAAAAGATATAGGGAGAAGGAAGGAGGGATAAAAAGAATAGAAGGAAAATAGACGGAGAAGAAGCCGCCAGCCAACGAGAGGAAAAAAAGAAGGAGATAGGAAAGTGGGGATCCGGTCGAAGCAGTCCAAGGGCGGGGTGCCACAATGCGAGAGCTGCACGGCATCAGGAGACCGCGGAGGGCGAACCAGTCGGCGGGAGCTACGCTGAAGTCGGAGATCGCGAGGGCACAACCTTCCAAAAGGGCGGGGTGCCACAATGCGAGAGCTGCACGGCATCAGGAGACCGCGGAGGGCGAACCAGTCGGCGGGAGCTACGCTGAAGTCGGAGATCGCGAGGGCACAAAGGTTGTGCCCTCGCGATCTCCGACTTCAGCGTAGCTCCCGCCGACTGGTTCGCCCTCCGCGGTCTCCTGATGCCGTGCAGCTCTCGCATTGTGGCACCCCGCCCTTGGACTGCTTCGACCGGATCCCCACTTTCCTATCTCCTTTTTTTCCTCTCGTTGGCTGGCGGCTTCTTCTCCGTCTATTTTCCTTCTATTCTTTTTATCCCTCCTTCCTTCTCCCTATATCTTTTATTCCCCATATCCCATTCCTCTGCTGACCTGTTGAGGTGTCCTCGTAAGGAGAGACAGTTACGGGTCGGCACCTTTCCTTTTCTTTTCTTCTGATATAACCACTTATATAAACGATTGTGACAATACCACGTCTGGTTCACTGCATATGCTTTGCTTATTGGTTCGCGCTTCTCTCGCGTGGTTGGTCCACGCGCAATTCTGGCCTGGCCAATCACGCGATAGTAAGTCAACTGGCTTCCTTATCCAGCCTTGTCTTGTCGCCTAGAAGATCTTGGCTCATACCCACAATGGGGATTGGCCACATTGTATCTTATAATGGAAATTTTCCAGCCGTGGCGATGATAAGCGCTCACGCATCGCTGTCCTGCCGATGATAAATGCACGCGCATCGCTGTACTGGTTTATAGTTCCCACCGTGAAGACTCGCATCAAGCGACAGGTTTATATTTTTGATCGCTTCATGTTTGCCTCGCGGTAAACTTGTACTGCGATAGCCTTCACAACTGGCTTTCTTTGCAAATCTTCCGTTTCGTCGCTCGTCCCGCTGACTCACTGCCTATTGTGCGCGTCTCTTGCGAGTGAAAAACAAACAACAAAAAACGCGAGCGTCACAAACCTGCGGACTCAGTTTATTCTGCTCCTCACTGACTCGTGCAACGCTTTCGCAGTTCGTACGCCGCGATTTCACATCGCTCCTTGCGCAATTTCTTTCTCTGCGCACGCCAGATGAGCGACGCCGCCTCGGAGCGCGCAATTGGTCTGGCAACGTTCATCCGGGAGCTCGCTTGTGCGGAGTTTCTGGCGCATGCGCAGAGAGGTCGCTACAAGATTTGTTCGGAAAAGAGTGGTGCGATGTTAGCGAAAAATCCGAAGAATCCTCGCAACGGATGGACTCCAGCAGCATGAAAACAAACAAGAACGGTGCTTCGATCGTGGACTAACACCGTGCCGCAGGTCCGGAGCCGGCCGAGCGACCAGTGGACGAGGTGAAGCCCCCCGAAGAGTCGCGATATTGTTGTCAGAATCGCCCACTGTCCTTCCAAGATGGCGGCGTATTTTCGTTGAAAAAAAATTGACAGGGTATCCCCCCACCAGAAACCACCGCCAGTTCGTTCTCTCCGGCCGGGGGCCTCACGAGAAATGGAGCTTCGAGTCGGCAACAAGTACCGGCTCGGACGGAAAATTGGCAGCGGATCCTTCGGGGATATTTATTTGGGTAAGTGGCGTTCCCTTTTCTTGCACCCCCCCCCCCCCCCCCTCAGCTTCGGGCAGTTGTTTCAGCTGACGATGACCCAGACCCATTTTGGACGTCGCCTTGTTGCCCTTCCGGACTCTGGGTTTATTCGTTTGCCAGTAGCCTACTCTGTCGAGCCTTCAAACGCCAAGGAACCAGCAGTATCGTAACAGAGCCCTGTTCTTCCGTTTCGGGCAAGCGACCGTCGGCCCCATCAGAGTTCTTTGTACCCTGACTGGGCGTCTCGAAACGCGACGGGAAAAAAAAAGTACCCTCGATTGCTCAGTCGCCTACGTTGTTCCCGTCGAAGTCTTCTCAGAGCGCGCAGTGTCGAAATGAAATTCGCTGCGTCGCACTACGATTGTGTCGCGAATAAGAGCGAGCTCTCCCGATCGTCTTTGTGGTGCTTGTTTAGTTGCTTCGAGGCGAGCATCCAAATAAGTCTTCCGCGGGTGTGGACAGTCTGGGAGGGATGTGCGGTTCCGTTTCGGTCGTCTCCGATGTTGTCAGACTCAAAAGGTGGCTGTTTCGCAGAGCCGAGGGAGATCTTTAAATCGTTCGCCGTCCGACATCGGGCGGGGTGAAGAGAGCCTTTGCGAAAGGGCCTTCTTCGTAACGGTGTGTGGCGTTCGAGTTGCAATAACAAAAGAAGATAGCCCTCTTCCCCGTACCTCCCGGTAATCGATAGGACTCGCGAAAGAAAAAGAAAATAACGAACTAAGGCGTTTTTTTCGTCATGTACCGGACGGCGAAGCAAGCGGGGTGGCTACCCCCCGTCGAGTTTTTCTTGCGAGCTAGCGCACGGTTCTTCGGTCAGCTGTGCGACGGCAGTCGCCGAATTTGGATCCGCGACCACGGCGGTAGTCGCCTGCCTGCCCTCGCTCAGCTGTTTATGCGCGCAGGGCAGGCTTCGCTGATCGAATAAGATGGTCGCTGGCCCGTGGGAACAATTGAGGTGCGTTTTCGTTCGTGGGCGGTTTTTGTTGCGCGGAATACGGTGGTGGCCCCCGTTACGAGAAGCTCTCTCTCGTGCCCTTTTGGCCGCTGACGCTTCTTGGTGGCATTTTTCTTTTTTCTTTTTTTTTTCAGCTTGTTTTACCTTTAGTCCGTAGTTGAGCGCGTTGTCGCTTCTGCCGGGCCCGGCGTTTTTCTTCTTTTTTCACAATTCCTGCGAACGTGCGCGAAGACTACACAAATCCGCTAGACACTGAGTTTATGTACTACATTCTTCTTGCGTGTTCGCTACTGTTATGAAAACATTCGGTCAATACCGACTAATCCCTCTGGTGTATCTTTCGTAAGAGAAAGAGGTGCAACTAAATTGCCATGCAAATGGAGCCACGAGAGCTGCCTTCGATCGGCGCTCCACTGGTTGAAGAGTGGTGTGCTTTGGGGAAAAAAAAAAAAAAGAAACGTCTCCCGTTTCTTCATTTGTTCGGCGGCCGCGTTCATTGCAAATGAGACCCGTAGCAACGCGTCCTCTTCCCGTAGTGCGCAGTTCGTAATCAGGCCGGGAAGAAAGAAAGAACCCCGATGATGGCCGACGCGCCACAAAGAGGCCAGTCGGACGCAGAAACAGAAGAAGAAAAAAATAGAAAAACCTAACCCGTAAACATTTGCGCCTTCGAAGGTGAAGGTCTGGGTCGGGTCGAGGCATTATTTGCCTAGGAGCGGCCCAATTGCTCTCCTGATAAAAGGGAGGCAACCAACAGCCGACGTCGGGAGTCGTCTCGCGTTGCTTCTACCGCGAGTTTTTCTCGGGGGTGGCTTTGAAAGTCGGGTTAGTTTGCGTCCGATATCGTTTACAACCTCCAGCGAACCCGCCTCATCGGCCCGCCAAAACGCGAGTTTTTTTTTTTCAGTTTTGGTTGTGTTTTCGGTGAAAGCCGGAACGCGCGGTGTATCGTCTTGCGTCTTTATGTTATTTATTTCGATCGCCGCGCGTCTTGTCCTTCTGGCGATGGTGACTCACCGCTGTGAATTCCAGATTCGGGGTTGCTTTTCTCTCTCTCTCTCTCTCTCTGTCACTCACTATACTGAAAAGTAGAGTGTTGCTGGTCGCTATTGCCCAACTAATCTGGATTCGGCTGTGCCTGCAGTGTTGTAGAGGGCACAGTGTTTACAGGGTGCGGTTTAGTTTTAAGCTTCTATTGAAGTGTTTCCGCCATCGTCATTGAAAGGCTGGTTCGCCGGACACATTGGTAATGCTTCCTTAAAAACAAAGCAGTGCTTAGTCAACAAAGACACAGCTTGAGGTGCTGCTACATTGAATAGAGATCGTAATAGTATCAGCACGTTTGACTCTGACAGACGAAAGTTCGCTCGCATGGACACATGTTTACGCAGCTGAATGAAACACTTGCCTTTATAAGGGAACCATGCGTTACCCTTAACTGGCAAAGAAAAAGAAAATGCTTGCAAGGCACTAGTTAAGAATCTGCAGTCACGTTTTGCTGATTCGCAGTCGAGTGCCATTTAAGACGTAAATATCGTCTAGCAGAGCAGTCTGGCGTTAACTTCGGAACTGTTAGTGTTGGACTAGAAACGTAAATTTTGCCCGACATGTAGTCCTCGTCAAACCTACGGCATGCACTGTCGATTCATACGTCGTTATCTCATGGAGTAGGATGATAGTTGAACTTGAGATCTAGTGCAATTCGTTGAGAACAATCCTGGTGGGCCGAGACTGGATGTGCACAGCTTGGTGCGACAAGAAAGATGTGCTTGCCTAGTGTTTGATACAATTTTTTGTGCAGTCTGAATCGCCCCTGTCCAGAGCAACTAGTCTGCCACCATTTGTGCAAGAACATGTAGAAGTCTGGTGTCAAACATTGTCATACAACTGGCAAGGCACATTTGTCAGAATTCAGGTGTGAATGAAAGCTTGTAGATAACACAAGGTAGCATCTGTGGATGGCATTAGTATTCATAGCCAAGCTTTCAAACGCTCTTCAATTGAGATTCGGGCTCCATGTATTGTTGATCCATGTCTAATCTAAGCAAGGTGACACTAGTATTTGCTGTCATCATCCTCTCCCGTTTGCCGGCATGCGTTCGAGAATTTTAGCAGCTCGTAGCATCACACTGCTGCTGTAACCACATGTTTCCTGATATGCTCCGTCATGCCGTTTGTCTCCGTCACACGTACCTGCCACTCACATTCGGCAAGTCGGCAAACCAGAACACAGCCATTTTTTACTGGACAATGCACAACTTATGGCAGCGTGGCATGACACTTACTGTACAGTGCTGACGCATAGCACCTGACACCAGAGTCTCAAATCAGGCCGAAGTTGGTCACTGCACATGCGCTACTTTGAAACCAACAGCAGAGCATGTGGTGAGGCCCCGGTTGTAAGACTCCAGATATTATTACTGAATTATAAACCGACAATACAGTCTCAAATCAAAGCTGTACGCTATTGTGATGTACTTTGAATTTGTAACTCTGCCACAGCATTACAAGTTTCGCCTTGCGGCATATATATATAATCATACACGATTCTAAGCTAGGCTAATATAATTAACCAAGAATTATGCACCGAACAGTTTCTTGTTGAGTGAATTTGTCAACACTGTCACAGATGACAGCAACACTTTCCCTACCTTCTGCACGATGCCCTACAGTTTGAGCTCACTTTATTTGGACTTAGTCTTCCAAGTCTTCTTGTGTGTGCACATGCTTGGCATCAAATCTGCAGGCAACTGCATCACTGGTGGGAAAGTTTCCAAGGCGGAGTAAACAGCTTCATTACCTACAACACGAAATGGTTAAATAGATAAGAAGCTGCAGCAATGGGGGTGAATGGTTGCCCGGCCAGATTTTAAGATTAGATTAGATCTGGGTTTGTACAAGGAGGCTTTGTGCATGCGTGGAACTGCTAAGAACACAATAAGAGTAGCGTGTATGCAACCACTGTTGAGGACTTGTCGCTAGTCGGTGACATCGGTGTCGGTAGCCGAACGTGAAGTGTTTTTCACACCTGCCCACGGAACTTTTCCGTCCGACTAACTGGCTCATGCATACCAACATGAGGTAACCGTGAAAAATGGCAGAAGTTTCTTGGAACTGGGCAAAAAAGGTATTATTGGACAAAGGGCAGGGATTGGAAACAATTTTGGACAAAACTTTCAGGGCCCTAATTTGGAAAGAGCTAGGGATAAGAGTTAATGGAAAGTATCTTGGTAACCTGTGATTCGCGGATGACATGGCCTTGATGAATAAGTCGGGGGACGAATTAAAGCTCACGATTACTGAACTGGACACAGAAAACAGAAGAGAGGGTCTGAAAATTAATATGCACAAAACTAAAGTAATGTGGGACAGTCTTGACAGAAACAGCACTTTGCGATAGGTGGAAAGACGCTTGAAGTTGTAAAAGAATAAGACGGGTAGTAACCGCCGAGCTGAACCATGAGAGCGAAATAACTAGAAGAATAAGGATGGGGGTGGATCACATTAGGCAAGCATTCTCAAATCATGAGTAGTAATCTGCCAATAACCCTCAAGAGGAAGGTGTATAACAGCTGCATCTTGCCAGTACTTACCTACAGAGCAGAAACGTGGAGGCTTACTAAGAGGGTTCAGCTCAAATTGAGGATGACACAGCGAGCGATGGAAAAGGATAGGTGTAACCTTTACAGACAAGAGAGCTGAGTGGGTCAGGGAACAAACCGTTTTAAGGATATCATAGTTGAAATCAAGAAGAAGAAATAGACATGGGCAGGTCACATAGCACGTAGGCAGGATAACAGCTGGTCATTAAGAGTAACTGACTGGATTGCCTGATTAGGCAAACTCACAAAGGGGAGACAAAGTTAAGTGGGCCGATGATATTAAAAAGTTCTCAGGTATAACGTGCAGCAGAAAGCACAAGCCTGTGATTGGCGGTTCATGGGAGAGGCCGTTGCTCTGTGATGGGCGTAGTCAGGCTCATGATGATGATGGACTGACAAAATCTGTTCAGCCACTGTATCGTGCTGTAATTGAAGACATCCTGTGGTCACCAGGTTATCTTACCTGTCATATTTTCATCTTGCGAGCGCACTTGAAATATAAATTCAAGTGCGGCAACAGAGCCGACGAGTTTACTGGCCTCAAATCTCTCTAACACCTGCAGTTCTAGACGTTTGGCTTCTGGTAAGGGAGGCAACAAAATTATTGACAATGTCACTCAGTTTTGGGTTGAGTAGAGTGCAAAAACAGAGTGCAGCACTTGGTCGATCTGTTACACACCCGACCTAACAGTTGTTCAGGTCGGGTGTGTCCCATCAGCATGTTTTTCCAGTGCCACGCAGGGGCAGGTTAGCCATTTCACCAGACAATCCCATACGCTCGCGTGGTTAAAGCTTAGTTGTTCGGTAGCTTTCGTGTTGTGAAAGTGGGCAATTCTTCTAGCCTCTCTCTCTCTCTCCGTGCAGGGACAAACATAACGACGGGTGAGGAGGTGGCCATCAAGCTGGAATGCATCAAAACGAAGCACCCGCAGCTGCACATCGAGTCCAAGTTCTACAAGATGATGCAGGGTGGCATCGGCATCCCTCTGATCAAGTGGTGCGGCTCGGAGGGTGACTACAACGTCATGGTGATGGAGCTGCTGGGCCCGTCGCTCGAAGACCTGTTCAACTTTTGCAACCGCAAGTTCTCGCTCAAGACGGTGCTGCTGCTGGCCGACCAGCTGGTGTCGCGCGTGGAGTACATCCACTCGAAGAACTTCATCCACCGCGACATCAAGCCGGACAACTTCCTCATGGGCCTGGGCAAGAAGGGCAACCTGGTGTACATCATCGACTTTGGCCTGGCCAAGAAGTACCGGGACTCGCGGACGCACAACCACATCCCCTACCGGGAGAACAAGAACCTGACGGGGACGGCCCGCTACGCCTCCATCAACACCCACCTGGGCATCGAGCAGAGCCGCCGGGACGACCTGGAGAGCCTCGGCTACGTGCTGATGTACTTCAACCGTGGCAGCCTACCCTGGCAGGGACTGCGGGCTGCCACCAAGCGGCAGAAGTACGAGCGTATCAGCGAAAAGAAGATGTCGACGCCCATCGAGGAGCTGTGCCGTAGCTTCCCCTCGGAGTTTGCCACCTACCTGAACTACTGCCGGTCGCTGCGCTTCGACGAGAAGCCTGACTACTCGTACCTGCGGCAGCTCCTACGCAACCTGTTCCATAGGCAGGGCTTCACCTATGACTACGTGTTTGACTGGAACATGCTCAAGTTTGTGAGTACGCACAAACGGGCCCTCTGCCTACCTTTTTGTTTGAATAATTCGTAGTAGTCTGTACACACCTTCTTTGGCCAAAGCTCGTGCAGTTTCCATTGGTGCCATTTTTAAATGTGTGCTTATGCTAAACGCCAAAGTTTCAGTTGCAAAGTCGTGCCACATTTTTAGTTGCTGACGTCCATGCAGAGATGTTCGTTATATAGTGTGTGTTTTATCGTCGCCCTCAGTTGCTTGTGTTTGTAGTTTCACTTGTGTGGTGTGCACTGCACTACAACACTGAGCATGTGGCAGCGCGTTTTCACGACGCAGTACATGCAATGCTACTAAAACCTGTGGTCGTCTAAGGTCCTAGGCCAAGGCCATGAGATGTTTAGAGGCAAAAGTATGGGGCGTTAGATCCACATCTAGCCGGAATCGCTATTCTATTATTTATTGCTTCTAATCTAGGTTGCGATGCTGACAAGGGGCTAGAGAATTTATTTTGAAGTGATGCTTCCATGCAAAATGATATTCTAGTTTTCTCAAACGTTTTGTCTTCCGCAAAGCTTCTGCTGTTCTATGTACACTTCACGAACATTGGTTTCACACACCAGCCTATTTATGTGAGCTTCCACGAGGGTCTTCTGCCTTACTTCAGTGTTGAACTAGAAGTGGTGTGGTTCGTATAATTGTGGACTGGGGATTGAATTGCATTTGCCCCCTTTCTCTATCTGGCCTTCAGAGCTCAGTGAGCTACACTGTAATATGTAACACCATTAATTAAGAGACCCAACATGGCACTCCTTTTAAAGGTACTTTGAAACAGTTCTTTGAAAATTTTGTTAGCGTTTTAGCTGTAGCATCGATAGATCATTTGCATCATAGTTTTGCTTTGTATCAAGGCAGCTTGGATAATCGATGTTCTTTCTCAAAACAGCCTTTCATCATTAACTCGCTAACTCGCACCTGTCACTAGCGACAGCAGCGCCCTCGACAGAGACGGAAGTGCATCGGGGTGTAGTTGGGATTTGCTCCTCTGAATGCCGCAACACTGCCAGTCGTTCCACCACGCCAACAATCCCTGAACGCCAAGTATGCGAACAAAGTATTTGAGAAAGATTTCGGATAAACACAAGCTCGGCCAATGAGGTTGTGCCTTCAGTGGAGGAGTTGCAGATGGGGGAATCCTGGTGAGAGCCTGCCACTTACTGTACCGAAGACCTGAAATAACTTGGCTAGCCAGATGCCTTGCATGATGTCGCACCTTGAAAGGCTCCAATCTCTAGACTTTTTGCAGATAATGCAGTCTGGGCAATTATAGTATCCAAAGAAACAAAACCTTGAGATAAACATAAACGCTGTGGCACAGTCGGATCACATTGTGTAGTACAGGGCAATGACATTCACTGTGCACCGGACGTTCGGTGACCTCAATGGACATATCCAAATGGTCGTCAGTGCTTCATGCAACTGTATAATCCTGCATAAAATGGTAGGGAGAAATCGGAAACTTGTTCGGCACGCTGCGCCCTGTGGCAATTGGCATGTTTAATGGTTTGTAATAAATTACACACTTGACGCAGAGACCTTAAGTTGGTCAGCAAATGATCCATGGGAATCGCTTTACCAGCTGAATGCGCTTGTACAAAATGGTGAAAAATGTTACAGGGTTTTTTCATTGTTATACGAAAAAGCAGTACGTACGTCTTTTGTGTGACCGCCACAGCCACATGAATAGAACTTTTACTGTAGGCGTTATGGGAGGCAAATTTTCACATGCATCATCCTCCGACTAGTTTTCTGCTTCAACTTTCTTTGCCGAGCGGGCTTCAAGAATTTGGTGGTACCATTGGAGCAGGCCAGTACAACTGTGATAAGAATGCAAAATCAAACACTCATAGGAACACCAGACTGGAAACTGGGAGGACTAAGCGCCAGTCTATGAGCAGCCCGAGAATGTGGCATTTCGCGCAAAGTTGAGTAGAGACACACCAGTTGGCCCGAATGTACTCATCAATTGGGTAACTTCTACAAAAGCACGTTCACAGTGGGAAGTTGTCACATGCGTGAGTGCCATTGCATCAGCAACCAAACTGGTGAATTCGCGCTAGTGCGCTACTCTACCACACGTGGACACACTCATTCGCGGGCCTAGAGAGGAAACCCTGTGCTTGTTTGTTCATATGAGCAGCTTCACCTCTCCCCTCTAGCCCAAGCACTGCTGCTAGCAACTTGCCCTCGATTCTTCATAATCCTGCCTTCTAATGGGCTGTGAAAAATGAGCGTTCTTTTTTATATTTTTATTTCCTGGTGTCCAAAATACAGTAAAACGCCCTTAATTCGGACTTCACAGGACCGGAGGGAATGTCCGAATTAACCGAAAGTACAAATTATCGTGAGTGCGAACAAAACACTTGAAAAATGTCTCCTATACCATCAGTCTTTTATTTCTTAAAGAAGTCTGTGATCGCGGTTTGCTTCATGGATGCCATGTGCAATGAAGTCACAATTTTGCGAAGTTCCTGCAGGTGGCTTAGTCCGTGCACACTCTCCGAGGAAAGCATGCATATGTCCTCCAAAACGGCCAACGCATGCGCAGCCTCTGTCATAGTGTGGCATGAACGCTTGTGAGCATCATCCTCGTCAGCCAATTCCCCTTCTCCGTCTAAGACTTTGGCGCAATGTCGCCGTCGGTCACTGTGCCGGCCATGGCAACATCGCTGTCAATTCCAAAGTAATCGCCCAGGGGCACACCAGCTGACATGATGCTCACATAGCGGCCGTCTTGCTCTTCGCCAGACGCCAGTTACCTCATCGGCCACCACCCCTGGATCACCAGCGTAGTACATAAAGCCGCTATGCCTAAAGTGGTTTGCGACTACTGCAGGCAGTTTGTTGTTCCACACGTATGTCAGCATGTGGATTGCGCTTAACAGGCTAATGGGGAATTCCACTTGTCGAGCGGGAACAAGTTTTTTTTGCTCCGCGGCCGAGAATCTGCATTCCGCTGGTAGATTAGGAGCAAGTCGCTCCGTGACAGAGCGTTCCGTGTGCTCCGTCTTGCAGAGACTGATTTCGCTGGAACTCCGAGAAAGTGTTGCCGTCATTTCCAGCACAGTCGGGCAGCACCGTTGCCTGCAGCTGCCTTGAGCTTTCTTTTTTTTCTTTTTCCTTTTTTTTTTTTTGTTCTCAAGGCAGTGCCCTCTGCACTAGTTCACATTTCTAAAATGGCGTTGTTTGATGCCGTTGGGCGTGCTGCTGCTGGTTGCTTCTCGCTTTGTACGACGGCAAAAGCACTAGTAGCAGCAGCGAGGACGAGCCGCACGTGCTTTCCCGCCGTGTGCATGGCCAAAGTCTCGACAGAAGATAATCAGCTAAGTCGAAGTTTTCAGGACTGGTTTGGTGACGTTTGTGTAAACAATTTCCGGCGCAGATCTCAGAAGTTCCACTCGCAGGTCTGGCTTGGTGCAATCGGAGTGCTCGTTCCAGGATTTCGGTAGCCGCTCCGGATCTACCAGTGGAATTCGCCATTACTTCGTACTGGTTGCCTGAGTTCATGCTGAGCAACATCCGCTCAAGTACCTGCCATCGATAACGGCTTTTCACGAACTGTATGATTCCCTGGTCCATCAGCTGCAGTGAAGCCGTTGTGTTTGGAGGCAGGAATAGCAGTTCAATGTTCTCCAGCCCGGACACCTTCGTGTGTGCACTACAGTTGTCTAGCACGAACAACACCTTCCGAGCCTTGGCCGCAAAGCGGCGTTCGAGCTGACGCAGCTGACTGGTCCCCCTTAAAAGCGATTGTCTTGTCAGGCAGCGCCTTATAGAACTGCGCTGTCTCATCAGCGTTGAAAATGTTACACGGCTCGTACGTAGAAAGGCGCACGGATAGTCCAGACTGCCAGTCCTGCACAAAACTTTCGTCAACTGCACCTCTTTCACCACACACGGAACACAAGCCCGTGTTGCTTCTTGAAGTGGTAGAACCAGCCTTCCGACGCATGTTCATGGTCACCGCGAACTTCTCTGCTTGTGCGCAGTAAGGAGGCCGCTCAAGGGCAAATGCGCATTACACGAAACGCACATCTATCGTGACAGTGGTTCTTCTAGCTTGGGATGCGCTGCCGTTCGAAGCCTCTTCCTTTTGTCGCCAAACATGTCCCCGTCCATACGCTTGCATAATCTGCTCTTCGTTCTTCACTTAAGTGCTCAGCATGCTTTTCTTCACATTGAACTTTTTTATCACTTTTTTTTCGAGATGCTCCCAGTTGAAATGCCTTCAATATTTTAACCTTCGCAGCCAAATCCTTTGCTCCGTACTTTTCCCTCTCCACTGCGGGATTTGGGGCGGTCGGGGCTGCAGGAGACGGAGGGGAAGCCATCCCAGCGTAGGTCGCGCGGTGGTCACGCGCGCGCGAAATAGACAACACAAACACACACACAAAAAAAAACGCACGGTGATAAAAACGAAATGAAAGCCAGTGTACTTTTTTAAAATAGCAAACAGTAAGACTGCAGATGGCAATGATCACGTACAGATAAATAATTTAAAGCACACTAGAGGTGAGCAGTCTAACTCAACAGTCACACAGATGTGTTCGACGCGCAAGAAAAAAAGAAAAGGCAAATCCGTAGGTTGCCTGTTGCTGATGACAGTCGCGATGCACTGGCTTCCATTTTGGTTGTTTAAACCACCGCGTGGTTTGTTTTTTTGTTTTTTTCAGGGGGGGGGGGGGTGCCTTTGTGATGTACTACCCATAGAGAAAGTTTTGAATCTCAGAAGCCGCAATCTGACCCCAAAGTTGTTCAGGTGCGCCGTCGATTTGGCTGACAGAATCCGCTGACAGAATCCCTGTTGTGACTTGACCGTGGTCGGGCTTTCGATTCAACCGAAGCGCCGCCGAATTTGTTCGAAATAATGAGAGTTTTCAATTGTAGAACAATGTACATTTTTAACGGGACCAGATGTGTGGCCTAATTAACCAAAATTTGAGTTAGTGGGGGTCGAATTAACGAGATTTAACTGTAGCTCTCAGACCAATCTGTTTAATGAGGGCCTTTTTTTGATGGCCAACATGCTGGCGATATCGTCGCCAACTGCAAATTTTTAATGTGAATGGTCTTTGTAGCTCGTACATAAATTAAATGCGCTGCGGCGTCATCTGTGTATAAATGGCATTTCACATTTGCCACCACGGCCATGAATAGTGCTGGCCAACGTTCTCACAGTTGGGCTTACGGAATACAATTGAACCTCGTTTTAACGAGCCGGAATATAACCAAGTATCTGTTATAACAAAGTAAATTAAGAATACTCTTGCAATAAATAAAAAGGTAGGAATATACCTTTTAGCGAATTTTCAGATATAATGAACCGATGAACCGATTTTGTTGCAAGATCCAACTTTGTTTGAATGAAGTTAGAGTTTATTTCGGATGGTGGACAGGGAATGACAGCCGCTGGTGCTCGGTCAGGAAAATGTTCCGGTGAAGATGCGAAGGCCGTTGGTTCGGCCTCCACCAGCAGCGAGGTGTTTTTGTCTATTTTAGTTCAATTTCGAGCCACCTGGTATTTTACTACACGATAAATGGACAACGAATGACCCCTTTGCCATCTCTCACTTCATATGGCTTACAGCAAAGGCTGGCGGGTCCCTTTGATTCATAACTCCTTCTCTTGTTCGATCGTCGTTGAGAAGTTCTTCTATTTGGGAGTCAAACTGAAATGCTCTAGTTGTGTTTTTTTTTTTTTGTCTTCTAATGCACTGAAACATTTTTCTCTAATGGGTCGTTTAAGTACATGTGATTAATTCTACTAATGCCCTACTATGTCATTCGGCTTGTCCCAGAATGTCTGGCTGGTGGCTCAAATTGTGTCCTATGTCTACCTTAATTTCACAATTACTAAAGGGCTGCTTTGTGTACATTGACATATTAAATGTTCTCAGGTTCTGACTTCTCACTCTGACATGAAGTCTACTAATGCCTTACTATGTCATTCGGCTTGTCCCAGAATGTCTGGCTGGTGGCTCAAATTGTGTCCTACGTTTACCTTAATTTCACAATTACTACAAGGCTGCTTTGTGTACATTGACATATTAAATGTTTTCAAGTTCTGACTTCTCACTCTGACATGAAGTGTTTATTTGCGGTGTCCCTTTAAGAGTGTACGAAAAAGGCTGATCACACATGCGGCGAGCGTCCCATCCGGTGACACCCTGTTCTGCCTTGCAGGGCGGGAATCGGAGCCAGGCTGGCGGTGCCGAGGCCGGAGCCACGGGGGTGGTCGGGGCGGAGGGGGGACCCGAAGGAGGTCACCGGGCTCAAGGAGGAGCCCAGCAGGTGCACCACGCGTCGACGGCGGCCTCGCGGGGCCTGCCCCCCACCACGGCGTCGGGATCACAGCGGCCTCCCTACCGAGGGACCTTCCTGACCGGCATGAACGGCGAGCAGCACGGCATGCCCGCGTCTCCCCCCTATCCCCCCTGGAGGAAGGGCGCCGACCACCACAACGCCGCATCCGGAGCTCTCACAAAGGTAGAGACGCGGGTGGATTGCTGCCCCCGTAAGCTTTGCGTGTACCACCTTCCTTGAGCACCTGCTGATTGCCCCCCCCCCCCCCTACCTTGTGTAAACAGTGGAAGCTCACTAATTTACTGTATTGGGTAATTTGGATGTGTTGCCTAGTCCCAGTCAACACATGTAATGTTCGCGGAGGAACAGACATTTCGGAGGTGGAACTCAGCTCCTTGGAGGTGTCCAGATGTCACATTGCCGGAGGGCCAAATCATGCTGGCAGTGTCTTTCGGAAAGAAAGGGAATTGCCGCCGTTTCATTTTCCTAGCGAACCGGTCCCGCGCTCCGCGAAAGTCAGGGAGTGGGGACGCAGAGTGCATTCGGGTAAGAAACTCTATGGGAGAGCTTTGTGCGCTGCAAGCGACGCTGCATACTCGCACGGGGCATGTGGCAGACCCGAGGGAAGCTGGCTGCTGGTGCCGTTTTGGGTTCACTGCATGATATCGTGGTGCGTCATCGCGCAGTTTTCACCGTATGATTACTCTTCTGCCTAGTGTCCTGTGCCTGAAGATTGAGAAGGACCTGGTTGTCAATCCAATTACAAAAGAAATGACGAAAAAGTCTCCACATTCTCGCTGCCTAGAGACGGGGAAGAGCGGAAAAAGTGGAAGCGCGCAAAGCCGCAACAAGGCACTAGTGGTTTCACATTTGATTCCCCGAATATGCGCATGTGCGAAAGCACTTGGATGAAAGTGACGTTCAGGTAGACCAGTGGCTAATCGAAGGTGGTGTTGTGAAGTCACCGCGCGGCGTTCCGCAACTTCCACTGACGCTGTGCCGAGGATTTTTCACGGCCTCGCAGCGTATTTGCATAGTGCAAAAAGGTGCAGAACTCGCCCGCCTACCAAGTGTAGCTGGGAACTGTCTGCTGAGCTGGAGACTGTTGAAGCTGGCCGCCTCTTCCACGTCGCATGCGAGTAGGTAATGCAAAAGCTCAATGAGTGAAATGCTCGTTTTCTTTTGTACAGGCAGTGAGATGGTGACCAAAAGTGTAGAGGTGACATGCCAAACGGGCGGAGCTACATGCAGCTCCTCAAAGCTTGAAAAAAATCAAAGCACGCATCGGTTGTATGCACCAGAGACTTCAGCACCACCAATAGATGTTTGCTAGGGTGACTGCGCAAAAGTGGTTGCACCAAAATGCTGTAAATAACTTGCGCAAGCTGTAATAGCGTGAAAAGTTAATTTCCGATATGATTGCCTCCTGGGCACGAGAAAACGTTTTGCGTCACATTGACTCCGCTGGTGCCGGACGCAGGCAGTCAATTTTCACGTCTGAGGAGGCATGCAAGACCTTCCACTTAAGGGTCTTAGAATGGTGAAAAATGGCCAAAAAGTCGATTTTGAAAAAATGCAATATTTAAAATTTTTAGACCTATAAGCACGTGTCCTCAAATTGCGAACGCTGAATTCGATCAGTAAGTGGGTTGATATTGATTATGAAGTCGCCACGGGAGCCGCAAAACAACCCACGGCAGGTCAAATTCGTTCAAACTTCCTGCGCACGCTGCTGGTGAGGCAGTCGGCCGATCGCCGCCATCTTTGGCTTGTTTTGAAGCTGATTCCTTTGTGCGCATTTTGCCACCCTTCAAAATGGCATCGCTTAAGGGGGGACGCGGCACTTCGGGACCGAAAATCAGCCGAGAGATCGAGTTTTCGCGGACCTTCTTTTCGCGTTCCCGACATCATTGCGCACCTATTTACAAAATTTCATAGCCGAATACCATCAACTTTTATCGTTATTCAACTTTAAAAAACCGAAAACGGGCGTCCTGCCCTTTAAATTGAGGGCGAATAGCGCAGGTTTCGGCTCTACGATACGCGGGAACTACGCGCTCGATCGGCGCCATTTCGGTCTTGTTTGAAAGAACGCGTTTTCAGCTGTTTTTTTTTATTCAGTAAGCAACATTGAGCGTTTCCCCGGCTCGAAAAACGGGGCCTCAAAGACGAAGAGCCGCGCTCACTGCCATTGGCTAAACGGCGCACGTGACTGAAATGGCACTTTCCGGTTGGCTGGAAGCTCGCGGCTTGCGCCTGCATACGCGACCCGACGCCATTTTGAAAGGGTTACCGCTGTGACGCCTCGAAATCGGCAGAGCACTCTGAAGCTTCTGATCGTATCGCCATGCCTGGAAACGCAAAAAAGTATCGGACCGTGCACGCATTTGGTCGCAGGAAACGCAAAGGTCGTGGGAGAAAGTCTACGAAGTCATCAGAGCCCTTGGTTGACTCCGACGAACGATGTGTCGACGCTCCGCGGCCGTTCAGCGATGGTGCGACCGAGCGCGTTGCCTCCGACGACGATGACGGTGAAGCGAACTCCGGACGACTACGAATCGACGCCAAGGTGGTGACAAACGCCGAAGTTGAAGAAAATCATGCCCGGGAGAAAGCGACGCTCGACCGGCTTTCATCGGCGCCAGCAACTGCACGGAAAATTGACTTTTTCACCGCGAGTTGTAGCGAGGCAACCGCACAGGACTCGGACCACGCTGCTCCTTATCTGCTTATGCATCTAGATATTCAAACGCGATAATGGGTGCCTTGTGTTGCAAAGCCTGCCATGGACCGGCTACGATCGTCAGAGGGGATCGGGACTACGGACTTGCCGTGAAAGTGCTAGTGCAGTGTGAAAGGTGCGGCGAGATCGCGAATGAATGGACTTCGCCCCGCGCGAACGGCACGAAAACGTGCAATCCGTTTGAAGTAAATCTTCTCGCTTCGAGGGCGATGGTGGCTACCGGCAACGGCCAAACGAAAATGAACGATATTTTCGCAACAATGGGCATCTCACACCGCGGTATGCACCACAAGACGTTTCAGCGGCATTTGAAGAACACGCTGGCACCCACTGCAACGCGAGCGGCTGAGTCCGCTATGAGCGAATGTGCGGAAAAGGTTAGAACAATTTATGATGACTTGTGCTTCGGCCACCGGGGCAATATTGCCGTTAGCTACGACGGCACGTGGAAGACGCGAGGCCATTCTTCCCACATCGGCGTGGGCACAGTTATCGAATTATTTAGTGGCTACGTGTTGGACTACGTCTTTCTTTCCAACTTTTGCCTAGGCTGCGAGGTGGGCCCAAAGCCTAGTAGTGAGGGCTATCAAGAATGGAAGGCTAACCACAAATGCCAAAAAAATACGAACAGCAAAGCGGGGCAAATGGAAGTGGAGGCGGCTCTAATTCTATTTCAGAGGTCGCTTGAACGCCATGGCCTGCGCTACACAACTATGCTGTCTGATGGAGACTCTAGGACATTTTGCGCCATACAAGACGCCAAGGTGTATGGTTACATTGACGTGCAGAAGGAAGACTGTATTAATCATGTACAGAAACGGATGGGCACCGCATTGAGAAACCTGGTGCAGAAACAAAAGTGCGATGGGAGAAGAAGCCTTGGTGGGAAAGGCAGGCTCACAGGTGAGCTGATCACCAGGCTGAGCACATATTATGGCCGGGCTCTGAAATCGCATGAAGGTGACGTGGGCGAGATGCAAAAGGCTGTGATGGCCACATACCGCCACGTCACCTCCACTGATGAATGCTCGGACCACAGTCTGTGCCCAGCTGGTGAAACTTCATGGTGTCGGCACAATGCCGCAAAAGCAAAGGGTGAGCCCGACCCCAGGCATGCCTACAATCTACCGAAAGACGTGGCAGAGGCATTACTACCGGTTTATACCCGGCTTTCGGAAAGAGCCCTGCTTCAGAGGTGCGAACGCGGCAAAACGCAGAACTCCAACGAGAGCCTACATTCGGTAATCTGGAGTTTGGCCCCCCAAGGAGCACCATGCGTCCCTGTTCGCTGTTGAAGCAGCTGTTGCAGAAGCAGTGCTGCGCTTCAACACGGGCAATTTGTATTCTGCAACGGCAATCTTAGGTGAAATGGACATGAATGCGACAAGTACTGGTGCCAGGAGAGCGAGAGAAAAAGACCACCGTCGCAGCATTGTCTCCAACAAGAAAAGAACAGCCTCATTGGAACTCCGGAAGCTAGTGAAGAGGAGGCATGAGCACAGAATGCATTCAGACTATGCTTTTGGTGCGTTTTGAGGTTGTCTTGTTGCATCTTCTGCAATAAAAATGTGTGCCCACGTTTTTTCCTCGATTTCTCAAAACGACAATTTTCATGTGCTTCCCATTATGCCGGAGCAATATCTCTTGTTCTATCTGGGTTATCATTACGATTTCTTTTTTGTTTCGAAGATAAATGCAGTGGATGGGTCGTAAAGTAAGTTTTATTGTAATAATTTTTGGAGAAAATTCTCTAAATGGATCTTTTGTTTCATGTGTAGATGGGGAAATTTTTCATGTCATATTCAACATCCCACAACTTTGCTTCGAAATAGCCCAGAACAATGATTTATACTTTATTGCACACTGTGAACATACCGAATTGGTTCTATAGGTTGCACATCAATATCCAAGTTACAGTTAATTAGCTAATTAGGCCTTAATTGAGAAAGTCGCAGGTCATTATATCTTTAAAACTAATTGTCACAGCAAAAAAAGAATTAGATTTTTTAAATCAGCAGTAAAATCTACATAGGCTCTCCAAATTTGACTGAGGTACTCGCAAAAATAAGAGTTTTTGGAAGGTGTAGCATCCCTCCTTAAACAGAACGGCTGCCCTCGCCCCTTTTCCAGAGCCCCCTTTCATGCCGCTGATTGGCCGGAGCACGCGCGCACCAGGCGAGCCCCCCTGTTCCTCGCTTCCCATTGGTTGATGCGGCCAAAGTTGACCACGATTTTTTTTTTTTTTTTTGTATATTGTTCGGCGGCCCCCGTTTTCGTTCGCACACAATGTTCGTCTGCTTCCCGCACGTGCCTGCTTGTGCTACGCGACCGACGCACCGACTTTCCGTCTTTTGCCGGCATGATTGGAGACGCTCGTCTTAAGAAGACGCGCCAAGCGTACGGCAAGAAACGGAGGCATCCGTGGAACGCCCGCCAGAAG